GTGCCACAATTAAATTTGAAATGATGGAGAACCCTGAACATGTATTTTGATTTTAATGAATTTTTAAATTAAATTTTTAACTTTGAGATAAAAATGGTAAGTACATGTACTACATGTTCAGAAGTGTATAAACTGATAAACTTAGAGAATTTGGGTTAGGGACTTAATAGGAATTTTTTTGTTATACAACTTAATTTGTTATTGTACTTTTTAACACAATTCTAATTCAAAATTAACCAGTATCAACAGTTTGAAGAAGGGGAGTTGAAAATGAAAGTACATAATATTCTTGTGAATGAAAATACATCAAATTTACAATTTAAAATGTTCGAATCTTTTTACAAGTACATGAGAACTTCTGAAAACAAGAAGTGAAGTTGATGTATTTGTATACAGATAATAGACAAGTCATGTGTTAACATTTGAATAACCAATAACACCTCAATACATCTAAGTAAAATTTCAAAATATTGTACTTGTCTTAAGGTGTAGCTAGTTATTAAATTAGGGGTCTTTATCAGAATAAATCTACATTCCCAACAGCAATGACAGGATGTAGAAGGAAAAAAAAAGATTAGGTGGAAAAACTAACTACGATTGTGTCAAACGTACATCCTGTTCATACATCTTCACAGATCTCTTAGTCATTGTGTTCAAACATCTTTTTCTCAGATCTATAATCACAACATAGAGGGAGGAAAAAAATAATATCACAAAAAAAAACTGAAAGAGCTCCGTCATGATCAAAGTCACGTAAACATACACTAGTTTCCACGAAAGTTGAATGTGATCTATATGTGTATTCTTTGTACACATGTTTAATAAATGGCGTAAAACTGAAATGTTGATATGACCTGAAAATCGTTAAAATGTTTTTGACTGAAGATGTACTCTTTCGTCGGATGAATATGAATTCAAATTACAAATAGAATTCCCCAAAGGGATCAAAACAAATATTGCAGAGAGTGCCTTAATTGGAATTGTTAATTAAATTGCCTGAGAAAATTACTGGTCCCATGATTGTAAAATATTTGTCCTGAATATATAGTGTAGAAATCTTAGGCTATAACATTCACTTAGATAAAAAAAAAAAACCAAATAAAATCACAAAATCTCAAATTTGTCAAAAGAAAATGATCAGATCTTTGGACTGGGCTCTGTACATGAACAAAAATCCATAAACTTTTGTGATTGTAAAAGAAGTATCATACAGAAATTAATTAAATTGAATTAGTGATACACTGGAGAGTTGACATTTTTTGGTGGAATAATTTTTTGGTTACATAAGCTGGACGGTAGACTTCTTTGAAGCCTTATTTTATTAAGTAGCACCATCCCGTGGTGGAATTTTTGGCCATCCAAGAAAAAAAAAATCCACTTGTTACATTCATTTGAATAAACATAAGAATTGCCTCTAATCATATAATGCAGAGGCCTTTGGCACAGTGTAATTTAAAGTATGACAAAAAAAAACTACAACGAAAATCAGGAAACTTTGGCTACATGATATAACATTGAACAAAGGGGGGTAGATGATGTAGGGGGAGAGGAGGGGGGCTAACTTGGAGACAGGAGTGGGGTATTGGGGGAGGAGAACGTTGGACTGAAGGTAAAGTCAAAAGCCCCACTCCCAAACACCTGCCCCTGGGAAAGGCTGGAACCTGTGGATTGCAGGCCGGAACTGGAGCTGCTAGCCGTTTCATTGGAGGAAGTGTCCATTGAACTGTCCATAGAAGAATCAGACACTGAGCTATTTAAAGTCCCATCGTGAGATTTGATTTCTTTCTCGTAGTTTTCTAGCTGTCGCATGAAGTTTAAATTTGGAGATATGACACTTCGACGAGATTTGATGTGTTCGAAGGCGGTTTCCAGCCCCACTTTGGCCGTGTACATGAGATAGGCTAGACATATGGTGGCGCTGCGGCTCACACCGGCTTGACAGTGCACTAATACTTTGCCATGACTTTCTCGAACTGTGTCTGTAAAACAAAAGAAAATACATGTAATTCAACACATTTGAAATGTTACAATGTTTGAAGATTAATTATTAAATCTTCATTAATCAAACGAATTATTAATTAATTAATCTTAATTAGTAAAATGAATCTGGATAAAGACTTTTTTTTTAATTTTGACATTGCATCTTTTAAACATATTAAAGTATAGCAATTTTTTTCAATCTTTAAATTTCATGCATATTTCCCATAAGATTCCAAAAAATTTCTGGATCTTTTGTCGCATTGTAAATCAACTGGTTCTCCTACCTATAAAAGCATTACTCTGTGGGAACCAGGCTGCCAGATCTGCGTTGGGGTTATCATCCACAGGAATGTTCATGTAATTGAAGTCCTGCTCAAAGAGATTCTTGCACTTAGTGGATACGTTCATTAAAGAGGTAATTCCCAGGCGATGTAGAAGTTCCAAATTGGATGCATCCTGAAAGTTCCCCAGGTAAAGAAAGGGGAGGATTTCCACTGGGGCCTCCTACAATGTTTAAATCAATCAATTAATACATACATCTTACGTAGATATACCGGTACATGTAATGTTCGTTTTCCAACTTGTAATATAATCAATCCCATGCAGAACTGTTCAAGAGTTTCCAATTTTGACAATTTAAACACTCTTATAATGAAGTGCCAGGGATGGACTATTTTGCTCGTATAAACGAAGTTCACTATTTCTGTTAAGTTCCAAATATATTTTAAAGCCTTGGGAATGAGCCACACTTCACTATTCGTGTCAATTCTTTCTATTCATGTTTGTTATAAGTGTGTTCTACTGTAGTTCTACATTACAGTTTGATATATAAAAAACACGTTTTGCCACCCATCCCTTTTGAAGATCAGATGGGGCTAATTAAGGGCACTATACTTGGCTATCTTTAGAACTGACCGACACTCCGGTCAGCTGACACAGGTTGTGTGGGAGGGGTATCTGTATACTTTATATGGTTCCACAATCAGGGTACTATGTACATGGTTACCTAGGACTGACTGTCACGCAGCCTGCAAAAGGTGGGGGGGGGGTCTTATATCTGATGATAATGTGGGTTCCAGTGACCAGTTCCACACTGGAGGTACAGTTCATATTACATGGTGAACTTTGACCTGACAGTCAATGGAGGGGAGTTCCTTTCCTGTTTTTGAACAATGTGGGTTTGACATTGAGGGTACAGTGCTAAATGTGGTTAAATTGGACTGCCACATGTTTTGTTTTACTTTCAGAATTCTTTTTCCGGGGGGGGGGGGGGGTTGTTCCTTACCTGTCTGTGTACATTGTCAGGTTCCACATTAAGAGTATTGGTCAGCTTGGACTGACAGTCACACAGTTCTGGATATGTGGAAGAGAAGTCTTTGTATCCTCCTGCCAAAAAAAAATAATACACCATTGATGAAACTTTCAAAAATTACATAACAAACACTTGAGACTATAATACTGCATACTGTTGTATAATCAAAGTCCTTTAGTACTGAAACAATGTGTGTATTCACACTGTATTCTTCCACAATCAAAGGCTTTGTGACAATGATTCAGAATGAAAAATGCCTTTTTGTGTATTGTCTACAGTCTAAACATTGAAAATTGGGAGGGAGAGAAACTGTAATATTTGAAAAGGGGATGAACATTCTTTGAAATTTTCATGCACTTACTTAGTACATACACACCAAGTAAAAGTACATAATAAGCAGTATATATTTCACTGTAGGGTCATAATAAGTCAAGACTCAAGAACATTTGAAGTGGATTGTACAATTTAATCGCTCTTCATGAAAGGACATTTCCTTATTCTTGAGTGCTGAGCGTCAGATAACATATATATATACGGCATACAGGTCACCGGTTTACTTTTGGTAAATGTATCCTTTATTGACGTACGTATAAAATTTTCCTTTTTTCGAAAATGTAAATAAAGGAGAGGAAACTTCCTGAACAACCCTATCTAACATTAATTTATTGATGTAAACAAAAAGGATCGTTTCCCGTATCAATATATACTGTGAATATGCAAACAACAAACACACCCTATCCTCTTCATAAATTCAATTACCCAAGCATATGGCGCTATGCATGTTATTTTACAATAAATTTCATTTGGCAATCCGCAAATGCACTCAATGTGTTTATTTAAAGTAAGAGTGTATATATCAATTTCATCATCTTCTAAATTTAGTTACATTAAACAGATCATCTATAAAAGTTATTTATAGCTTCTAAAATTACACACTAAAGTTCTAATTAGCTTCCGGGAAATGGGAACGTGTTTTGTGAAAGGGAAATGAATTGTGAAACTGTTTCATAAGCAGCAGAAAAGAAATGGGGGTGAAAGAATACATGTGAAACTATTTCAAACACATAAAATATACAATATGAAAGATTTAAAACGACAACTGTAAAATCACATGGGTTTTATTATCAATATTAAATTATTCAGACGTTGTTTTATTCATTTATAGTGAGATAGTTTTCGATCATTAAATTATATGACTTCTAAACGATATTGGAAACTATTACAAAATCAATAGTTTTAGTCATGGATATCAAGTTTATATTTCAAGAAAAATACAGTTTATCAAAACAAAAACACGTCTATATCTAACCTCGGCATCTCTTTGTTCAAGAAACCGACGCTTATTTATGCACGATGACTTTCGCTTAGCCTACAATATTTCTCAGAGTATAAATCCAACAAAAATTATTATAATTCATGGAAGTTGCAAAAGTTTTCTTTCAGGTGTTTTGGAGAAACTTTGGATAAAAAGGTTGATTTTATTCACAAACTTGGGGGGGGGGGGGGTTGTCACTGATTTGTTTGCATTGCAAACTCCGTTGATTTTCAATCGTGGATTGTTGGACATTTCTTCCCATGTAATATTAATGACACTTGGGGAAACTTTGCCAAGAAAAATTATTAAGTTTAATGTGCATACTGTAACAATTGACAATTTAATCTAATCCAAATATTTCAAAATACCCCGATTTTAAAATCAGTACTAACAATTAACGATTTATATATACGTTTATATTTTTCATTACAGATTTCTACACCAAAGTCTTGTACAGACTTTAATAAGACCTTAGATCTCGACAAATTTATACGGTCCTAGCTAAACATGAGCTACGAATTCTATTTGAAGCACACAGGATAAAACCCTTCCCTATTTTCTCTTCTCTCTGTTCGGCGAGATGAGAGGGGTTTTTTTTTCTGTTGACAAAGGCAACTTCCGTACTTATTTCTTATTAAAACTTGAATGATTTCAGTACTGTACTCTTACACTAAAAATATTAAAATAAATACGACAAAGTCCTTCAAATAACACATTCCTTAATTATTAAATCAATTCAGCAATCGGTGAAATAACAGTCATCTGAAATTTTCCATATATCCGGAAACTTGTATGGACAGTGCCCGTTCACGTGTTTGCACTCGGTCACTCCTCATTGGCGAGAGAGGATAAATTATTGTGGTCAGCGGCATCATCAACACGTGAATAATAGGGATGAGTGATGAAAAACAAGCCTTATTTTTAGCCCTCAGGCAGAAAATATCATACGTATGGTAATATATTTTACACAACTGAAGATAATGAGGAAAAAAAATCCTCTATTAAAAAGTTGTTTTTTTTTTAAACTGTGAATCATATCTTCTGTATACATTTTACACACAGGTTCTATTTCAATGTATATTTTTTTCATTTTTTTTTTCAAATTAAACGGGTACTAAAGTGTTGTTAACTAAAATAATTACATTTACACAGTAGTAAAATTTTTCTTTACTTATTTCTAGGGATGTCAACGAATAGTCGACTATTCGACTGTCGTAAATTTGAAACAACATTCGAATATTAGATAAATGCAAGAAAACGGAGTGATAATGAAATTCTCATCTCAAAATTGAAAAAGGGTCCTTCCTCAAACTATACGGCTGTAAAGTATACGTCAAGGAACGATTAAGAGCTCAAACACAGTCACAGTATATGAATAATTTTCCACATTGTACACACCGCGATAATTATTTCTTAATCACTTATTTGCGGTTGTACGTAGTAAATTATGCAACGCTATACTGGACCATTAAAATTATTTAATTGACTTGTACAAATATATGTTTATACTCTATGATTTTCAATTTCTTAGCAACACACAATAATAACATAGCCGTGAAGTTTTAAAGTTCAAATTATTAAAACAATGACCTTACATAAAAGACATTTTGATATATAGCTTGGGCAATCATTGTAATTGAACAAACAGTATTTAACATCGGAGGTGTGGACAGTGTGTGTTTACAATTCCCAATTTCCAATTTCTATAAATTTTCCAATTTATTTTAATTAATAAGCTTTCAAAAATACTGTGCTATATAAAAAAAAATAAATGCTTCGAATAGTCGACTATCGTTCGAATAATGCAACCGAATGTTCGACTATGAAAAATTAATATTTTGACATCCCTACTTATTTCCCCTACAGTTTCGGCGTATGTACTTGTTGAACTACTGTTTTGAAATACTATATTTACGTATATATCACTGTTCTCTGAATGGAATTTCTCTTCGTAAACAAACTCTGAAATCTCGGTCAACTGAGGTCACACATTGAAGTTGTTTACGGTGATATTCCGAAATACTGTCCCCAAGTTGGCAAGAGTTAATTGATTCACGGGAGTTCTAAACCCATAGCTTTCATTCAGATATAAGTACCAGTAAACATGACAAAGAAAATGCAAAGATATAGAAAGAATGTGTGCAGAGAGAGAAAGAGAAAGAGTCAAAGAAAGTTTAATATTCGCCATGATCGCTTTCTGTATTAATTTTAAGTGTGAAATGTACATGTTTTTCATAATATATAAATAATTGATGTATGCATTTATTGGTTCAAACAAAAAATGATCAAAATATTTCGATACAAAATGCATGATATTAGCTTTTAGTGCCCTGCAAGCTTACTTGAGTTATGGACTTATGGTACATTGTAAATGTACACACAGAGAAAGAGAGAGAGAGAGAGGAGAGAGAGATGCCAGAAGAAAACACATCAACAAGCATCATCGCTGGAGATAAAATAGGTCTATAAAACCAGTGTGGCACTCCCACGCATCGATCAATATAGAGGAGGAAAAAAATCGTTTATCTCTCAATGAATTCTACATCCGTAATCTACCGAACACACGAACTGCACAGGGACATTGGAGTCAATATTTATAACTCCAAGAAAACCATCTCCCGGTCTGCCTTATCTGATAGAAACAGGGAAAGTTTGTAAACAGGACCTGATTTGTTTGTTTTGGTGCATGTGAACTTGTCAAATATTGTTGATGGTGCGTTGCTAATATTCTGATTTCATCTTATAAACATGTGTAAGAAGTTGCACAGAGGATTTTATTCATAACTTTTCTAATTTGAGAGCATTTTTATTTACTTTACATAAAAGCTTTACAGTTTTAATTTTTTTTTCAAATAGAGATTAGATTAAAAAATTTCTTCTTGGTTCCCCAGCACACTTGAAAAATTTCCAATGCTATTTAGTGTATAAAATATTGTTATATTTTACTCAGTAATATGTTTGAAAATCATATACTGTAAAAATTCCTTCTTCCAAAAATAAAAGGAAACTAAAAATAATATTATTTTCAGTTTTATTTTCCTTTTTTGATACAAATTATAGAAGTGATGGTTTGCTTTCCTGCTTGTTTATTTTGTGCAAGATATATATAGATCTAAGTTTTAAAAATAAGGACAGGGGTCCTCTAAATATGTACCACTAAATAAGAATCCAACCAAAATAAATACATGTAATAAAGTGTTATAAAACTGTTTTTTTTACATTTATTCAGAATAATTTTGAGTTAATATTTAAAATAAAATCAAAATTCCAATGTACATACTAGTGCATGACCCATATATATTTTTTTATAAATATACTAGTAAGTGAACTTAAGGAAAAATAAATCTATATCTAGCAGTGTCTAATAATTTTCCCAACAGTTTTAAATTTAGATAAAATAATCTTATTTAAAACCTTTTTGAAGTAATTTGAACTTTATCACTAAACATGCTAAAAAAGTACACTAATTAAATGGGCATGTCAATACAAACATATTTTTTTTCCCATACAAGAAAAAAAATACTTCCCCTTTCTCCATGCTTTCAACTATAATTTGTGAAAACGAATTTTTTTTAATATGATAATTTGGGTGAGATATTCATATATTTCTCTACATGCATATCTTTGCATTCTTTAGGTAAAAAAAAAATTGGTGTCTGTGTAAAAGAACAAAAAAATTAATTCTTAAAAATCTCGGAATTATCCTTACTTTTGTCATCTTTTTGTTACAGTAGAAATGAATACAGTCAAACTCGGTTAAAAGGAAGTCAATGGGACCTATGAAATTACTTTCTTATACACATAATTAGTTAAAACCGTATAAGAAATTCATTAAATTTATGGAGCTGGGGATCTAAGATGACTTTGCTATATCTGTAAATTCGCAATATTTGTGTTCGTACTAAATAAGTTTTGCTGTAAAGCATATACCTGGGAAAATTTTTGCACCTTTTCATTCTTGCCCCTTTCACCCAACTCATTGGCAAAAGAATTTAAAACGAGGTGAATTCAATTTATTTGACTAAATTGTGACTGGGAGAATTTGTTGAGCTAGTGTTAAATCTGAAGCAAACTAGCATGGCGCGGCGCCACGGCGCCATTTTTTTTCCAGCGCCATGCCCTTATTTCCAAACCCAAAATTAATAAATATGGCCATTTTTTGGCAATATTCCTTTGCTGTTCTGTTTATTCAGTGCGGTTCACCTTCAGTGCATGCTGATAATCCCTTTGTGTATACAACGACAGGAAATCACTTCACGCCTGAACGAACGTTCACAGCCACCTGGCTAATTAACATGCCTCAGGCTGTCAGGGTAGAGGATTTAACTTCAGAAATTCATTTGATTGCATTGATTAGCCAAAGACCAAAGTAAAATTAACTTGTAATTTATTAACTAATTAAAATGAGGATCGTTTTTTTTTAAACCGAAAGTAGAATAAAACACATAGTTGAACTCGGATATTTTACCTGAATAAAATACTTACAGTGTACAAAAAAATTAATGTAATGTGATAAAAAGGCTAAAAAACAAAAAACTAAGATAGTTTCTTTGATTCAATGCCCTGATAGATTTGACAATCTGAGGGTCAATGTTTTTAATTAAAGCCTGATTTTTTTAAAAGGAAATTATACTTCGCATTCATTTTTTTCAGAGTAAGATTATAATTTTCACTGGATCATGTTGGTAGAATTATTTCATAGTAAAGAGAATGGTCTCTTCATATACCTGAAAAAAGTATTTTTGTATAAACTTGACTGTGCTAGTACACAAATAACACAGTCCAAGCAGGTAAAAAAAAAATCCTACCTCCAAACTTTAATAATTTTTGCACATATTTCAGATAGATTAATACCATTCCTTTCTCAAGTGTAAGCTTCCTTCTTTTTTAATCAAAGAAATTGGATGTAAATGCCTTTTTATATTCTTTTTGTTTCAATAATTGTCATGTCAACCCAGGTGTGCTTCATGTGTTGGTATTTAAAAAAAATAAATGAAAACAGATATATGGATATCTTTAAATTACTTTATTAAATAAAGATTATATGAAAGGATATTAAAAGTTATCATAATAAACACGTAAAAGTATGTAAAAATTAATAAACGTTTAATATAATTTTAAACACATTAACATTTGTTTTAAAAGTGCCCCCATGAGATCCTTTCGCGACGCAAAGTGCCCTTTTGATTCCTTGATTACCATGCCCTTTTTAGGGAGAATTTAACACTATGAGCAATATATTAATTTATATATTTTGTACCTACATAGTGACAAATTAAATGTGACAAAATTGTTTGTAAGTGTGATAGGGTGAAAATATACCATGGATAAAATGCCATTAATTAATTAAGTATTACCAGTAAGCATGAATCATAATTTTAAAAAAAAACTTTAAAAAGTGCATTTTACGGTACAGCAAAACTCGTTTAGTACGAAAATGGAAATTGCGAATTTATGGATATAGCGAAGTCGATATATCATCTTGGATCCCCAGCTCTATAAATTTAATGAATTTCTCAAACGGTTATAACGAATTACGGATCTAGCATAGGTCCCAGTGACTTCGTTATAACCAAGTTTTGCTGTATATAACTATTTGTACTTTTGAGTCACACTGTTCATTGTGTTTCCTCTGCTAATAACATGCATAACTTTAATATAAATTGTGACATGACCCGGCGAGTTTTCCTTTGAAGTCAAGCGTACTGTAACTGCGATACAGAACACTTTTTGTGGGCGTTTCTTATGCAAATTGTACTGTATCTGCAAAATATCAACGATACAGTACGGTTTATTTTTAGCCATGACGGAAAGCTGTATCCATATTCAGACACAAGAATCGTTCAATTTCCATGAAAGCACTGGTAGTATTTACTCAAAATTTGAGGTGAATTAAGAATAAAATTTTACAACGTAGTTATTAGTGTCGAATTCAAAAATTTTAGAAAGGAGGGAGTGGGACAGTTCACAAATGATAACTACGCCCCCCCCCCCCCCCCCCGAAAAAAAATAAATGGAAACTCGTATATTATACACGGTGAGGGGGGGGGTGTAGATTTATAGCCAACCAAGACACTATGTAGTGTTATCGTTTCTTGTTGATAAATTAATAAGCGTATGTATACAAGTTTAGCAAAAATCATATACGAAAGCGAAAAAGAAAACAAAAACTCACAGGAAGGTTGAGTGGGTGTACCAGTGAGTTGGGATCCCCTTTGGTTACTCTACATTTTATTAAAAACATGAAGGTAAAATACCCCCCCCCCCCCCCCCCTCGCTTTCATTTCATCTGTTTATTTCATTTTTTTAATAATACGACAGGTGTAGGACATTGTCGGACTTTTTTCTCAGAATACAGTTTCGCAGAAGTATTTTTGTTTCAAAAACATTCCCACATGATTCTTATATATTTAAATGTTTTGGATTAAATCGTAGCTTAAATTTAAAAAACAAAGTCGGCAACAGCTGAATAGAGAAAAAAAAAACCTACGCAATCAAATTTAAATTTATTTTTTTGGAAAACAAATTATATAATGCATCCCCTAAATAATTATTTTAAAATGATAAATACCTGCATGTCCACCTCTCTGGGCATTTCACTTGCGAATGCTTAAAATGGGATACTAAATCAATTTTCTGCTAAAATCATCCGATTGGTTGAGAGATATGTACCCAAATATGAATGTAAATTGGTGAGGTCATTAGAAAGGTCATGTCACAAGTCATTTATGTTTCCTATTGTATCAGAGATAACTTTCGCCTCAAATATAAATTAATTTACATTTTTCCTACTGTCTTAATAAGTGTACTCTTTATAATACAGTGTTAAGAAAAAAATTGAGAAAAGAAAATGTGGCCAGTGCATATTACACAATGATAGTTTAGCTAATTCAATTAACACCAAAAGTGTTAACCATTGAAATTACAACAATCAGTTCTTAATCTCATTTTAAAAATTTCCAATCAGATTAAAAGGTACTTAAGTAAGTAAACCTCGAGAAATGCAAGTGTATGTGGTGAATCTAAATAGGTATATTGCCCAATACACAAATTAAATTTACATGTATAGTGTTGAAAGAATTAGACTTGCTGACACATTTGAATATTTATTAATATACATACCAGACAGATGATTAATTAGGGCAAAGTTTGTGAAGGTAAAATGAGTAAAACTATAAAACATTTTTTTTTTCAGATTGCATAATCTTTAAAAATAGTTGCCATAAAAGTTTGAATGGGTATTAGGGAAAAGTCTTTTTTCCAAGGTTTTCGTTAAGCTGTATATATACAAATAAAGAGTGAGATTAAGATTTTCTTGGGACAGAGTTCTGAGAGGTCACATCTAAAATTTTGCTAGATATAAATAAAGATTTATGCCTTCACTAAAAATTGGACCATTTTACAATCCTGCTAAGCGACTAGCCAAATCTCGATAGACCTTTGGGACAGAGTCAAACTGACGACATTTTGGTAAATCCAGGAGAATGTGCAGACATACATTTTTATGATCTTTACATTGATCTTTCATTAGATCTATTGCAAAAGTTTCGATTTGAACCAGGAAATGATAAATGCTGCTGGTCCCCAAAGTCCAAAAGTTGACCTACCAACAAACTTTCATAAAAATTCCAGGAATGAAATAAATGAACCATGGACCATCACAGAAATGTTCCAACCTTGAAAAGAAAGAATGTCTTCATCCCAGGATAACTTTCATTTTTGAACAGATTGAAGGAAGATTCAATTAACCTGATAAGAAAGTAAAATTGAAGGGTCAGGTGCCCGTGGGGGTAAGGGGGGTCTGTCAAACATGATCTAGGACCAAAAGGAATCGTGACAGTTTGTTTTCTCTTTTTGGATATGTCTATAAAGAAAAGTTTGTTACAAGTCCCTTTGATAATTAAAACCCTGCATGTCCTTTTGATCAAAACCAACTCAGCAGGGGACAGTGTTACAAATACTGTAAAAAAGTTTGTTTAGTTTAGATATTAAATACAGACCTTTAATATAATAGAGTTCGCCCACTTCAATTTGCTGTCGAAGACTTTTTAACACAGAATAGAGGTTAGAATCTCTGGCTGACAATTCTAAATCGACCGTGTCCTCGTCGTAGACAATGATCCGCTTGAACTCGCCATTTTCCAGCTTCTCTCTCTTCGTGCGACATGGGACGATGTTCTCGAGGGCCACGAATCCCCCCGACCGTCGTTTCAGGATTGGGGGGCAATGAACGTTCGTTGCGGTGACAATATGGCCTTCGTTGTAGGAAATAAAGGGTCTGCTATCCAAGATCAATATTTCTTCCTCGGCACCCTCTTGCCATTTTACAAGCATGTCCACCGTGATCCCCTTTACTGTTAACGTGTCCATGCTTATGGGAGTTAGAATACGATCTCACACTTGCCAAGAATAGTATTCTCTATTATGCAAACGTCGAGCTAAACCGTATACTCATGAATGAAATGTCGTTTTAGTTGGTAAATGACCTTTCCATTGATAAGGGTTGTGAGAAGTCCAAGTGAGGGCGCAAGAGAGTATAGTTCGTGAGATAATTGACATTCAATCGGAAACTTCTGTCCTATTGTTCTCCAAGACTACTGTTTAATATTTGTTTCGTATAATAACATATCCACGTTAGAACTTTAAAAGATTTTATCATGTTGCTTGTTAAATAGCTTTTTACATTAATATTCCTCCGCCAATATACATCTGACGTCACGTTGTAGTGCGTAAACTCGTTAACAATTCATTCAATAAGACCACGTGATTAACAAACCACGCCTTTATTCTCACACGGTTTATTATTACTATGCATCCGTATTAGTAATGACTATGTACATGTATAGTAAGTATGACGAAAGCAAGATTACAAAACACTACTGAGTTACATTTGTAAACAGAGACATGTGGGGGTTTTTTTATTTTCGTGGTGTAAATAACATGTAATCAGCATAAATATTATTCAAGCTTGCAGTATTATACGTGGTATTCAGTTGTCCTTTAAATAATTAATAGAATCCCAAAAATATATCCCGAACATCTTTTTTCGGCCCATTTTGTGACATTTTTTCTCATAAACTTTATATTTCCAGTCCATACAAGTTGCTCAAGGAGTCAGTACATTTTTTTTCGGAGGATTTTTTTTTTGGGGGGGGGTATTTTTTTTCCTTTGAATTCAACAAAAATTCACCAGAATATACATGTATCTGGGTTAAACCAATTATTATTTCTGCATCCATTATACTGTTTATATAAAAATATTAAAATTGTTATTTTGTACATGACACCGTGGTGTGTACATGTGCACCGATTTAGCATTTGCATTGTAAGGGGTATCCCATACTTTCCTTGTATTTCTGGCCTTCTTTGTGAGAACCCATCCCCCGCCCGGCCCAGTTTAACAGGGGAATTTCAAAACGTTTAAATTTAGATTTTCTAAAAATAATTTATTGGTATACTTCTTAAATTAACAATGAAAATAAATAAATATCACCTAGACGTACAGCTTACGTATTTCCAGCAGGGGGTAGGGAAAGGAGTAAGGAACAAATTATAGATCTAGAGGGTTTTTTAAATATAATTCTAGATCAAACTTACAAAATTGCAGTGAAAAAACATATGATATAGATCAAGTTTACAATGAAATAAATTAAGACAATCTTCAAAGTTACGTTTTAATTTAAGAATGATATCTGAAAAAGGTAAATTTTGGAGGGGATTGAATAAAAATAAAATAAAAAATAATAATGACATGTAAAATTTTGTCGTTCGACCTCGAAGATAAATAAATGATAATTAAATGCAGAATTGCATTTTTATGGAAGTGGATATGGAAAATTTCAATTATACACAGGACAATATTAGAGTATCAAATAGAGTATTGACTGCTTGAACCGTAGTCCGAAATATCTCATGTTTCAGGCCTTTTCACGATCTTGAAATTTTACGTGCTGGTTTATTTTCCTGGCAAGTATATTATCAAAATTACGAAAACACTTGATAAATGTCAGATATTTCAGACTACTTGAATCGGTATTTGGTATTTATAGCACGGAAGAGTTTTTGTTTATTTGTTTTTTTTCTTTTCTTTCTTTCTTTTTTTTTGGGGGGGGGGGGGTCTGAACACTTGTGATGAATATGTTTCGTTGATAGATTAATTTCTTAATCTGTTTGAACAGGTGAACAAGTTGACACATAAATATATATAAATGCATATAGACTGACTAGAACTGGTAGAGTAATTTTGGTACAGTTTATATCCTATGACGTTAGCAATCTAAACATGTCTATATATGGAGTAAACCAATTTTAATGCCCTTTGACCCCTATTTTGACACGCTACGATACACCATGACATTTAAAAGGAACATACATATATACGTGGGCACAATGTGTTATGGTTACAAATGTTTAAATTTATACATCGGTGTGCCTGTGTCGATCACATTACATTTTCAAAAAACATGGAATTTTTTTATTACCTATTTATAGATAATTTAGCATTCGATTAAGGTGGGATTTCTTCAGACGTAGTCTAGTTCTTTTATTCTGATTTGTTTATCTACGAAATAAAAATTGTATCATCTGTGTCAATTTTCAACACAGGCATAAGTGTCAAAAAAGGGGTCGTCCAAAATTTCCAGGAGATGAAGGTATAGGGAAAAAAACCCTCAGAATTAATTTTAGAATTGTGACATTTCTATAATAACAACGGGATTGGCCTAGGTAGATTTTTTTTTCGCAGTACTAACACAAATGTGAGAAAAGCTTGTCTGGGTGGTCGTTGTCTGACAGTGTTTTCCGAATATTAAGTAACAATTCTATATACATCTGCTTTTCACAGAGTTAATGACAGTTTCTTTATATCACATGTAAAAAAAAAAAAAAAAAGACAATAATTGAATCTTTCACAATACATGATGCGCCCACTTAGATCTGTCTATTCTTGGATATGTGATAAAATTATGTCTTATTTGCATCAAAAATATCATGCAATTTATAGTATACATGAAAGTAGTAATGGGTTCTTTTATTAATTTTAATCTAAAGTTGAAAATGTCAACACGACAATAAATTGATTAATTTGACATGTAGTCATTTTCATCTTTAGATTGAGAATTATCAAAGACATTAATAATAAAGAAGCTAAATGTGTTCCATTGATTAGGGCATGCGAAATATACATATATGTATAAATAGATTTAGATTAAATGTGTTAAATTGTGTTAAGGTAAATTTGTGGGGTTTTGCGAAATATACATGTTTGTATACATGTATTTAGTTTAAATGTGTTAAAAATTGTGTGAATCTTCAACCCTACCTCCCCTCCCCCCCCCCCCCCCCCCCCCCCAATATTCAGTCGACTTTAATCAAACCACAGAAATAGACACATGATTTTTTTTTTCAAATACATATAATGATATATGCTGTCAAATTTCCCCCGCTTGGGGGGGGGGGGGGGTAGTGGTAGAAATATCATCAGGGACAAATCACTGGTCTAAACCAGTAGCTACTATTTACACATGTAGAACCCTTGATTTGACTTCTCGGAAATAGTAAAATAAAAACACTTAATGGAAATGCGTCAAGAGGAAATTACTTTACCCAATGGATCGCTAAAGTAGAAAACTGTTTACCCCGACTTCCTGTCCAAATAGAAGAGGGTAACACGGGAGTAGGTGTACAAGGAATTTATATCAATAATTTCAGTACATAACAAGATGTGTTTGTGAAACACTGATGCCCCCGTATGATAACATATTGAAGATGAAACTTTTCTTATAAATGCAAATTTAATATGTTGGTACCAAAAGTAAGGTCTAACAAGAAGTACAGTTGGGAAATATGAAAACTCGTATGTTCAAAAGATATGGCCTAGGATAAGTTTTTGAAAGATAGGTCAAACTCCAGAGTCAAGGTCAAAGAGTCAAAAATTGTTGCTTTCTAAAGAAAGATAATGTAACAAGGGTTATATATATGTAAACTATGAAATCACTTTAAACCCTAACCGTTCAAAAGTTATGACCTAGGTTAAAGTTTTTAAAAAGTAGGTCAAACACCAAGGTCAAGTTCAAATGATCAAAGTTGAAGTCAAAGCTTTAACCCTTCAAAAGTAATGGTCAAGGTTGTTTTTAAAAAGTAGGTCAAACTTTAAGGTCAAAGGGTTTAAGTACTTGGTATCCAATAAAGGGTTTTCACGCAAGCATTTAATATTTGAGGTATGAAAGCCCTAGCGCTTACAGTTCAAAAGTTATGGCTGAGGTTTAATTTTTTTTTTAAGTACAAATACTTTTAAAAGTAAGTAAATATCCAATGTCAAGCTCAAAATTGTTGATATCCAATGAAAGGTCTTGTCACAAATAATATACATGTGAAGTATGAAAGTCCCAGTTTTTATTGTTCAAAAGTTGTGGCCAAAGTAAAGGTTTGGACTTTTTGTGTAAAGGTGTGTCAAACTCCAATGTCAATTATAATTTGACATGATATGAGTATGACTAATCTTTTTACTCACAAAGGGGGGGTACCGTATGGAGAAAATAATTATTTTTACATAGTCATCTTGAAGAACAATAATTTGATGTTTATATGTGATCACTTTGAATTCTAGAACACTTACTGATTTTTATTTTAAGATAAGTTTTAAAGAATTTAAATTAGAGATTTGTTCATTCTGAAATTCTATTTTGAAATAATTATGAGACAGAGTTGTCAGACGCAGCAGGTACAGTATATTGAAAAGTAAAAAGGATAGTTTTAATAAAGATTTAAAATTAAAAAAAAATCATATTAATTTGATTTGAAATACATTTTTGATAAAGTAATAGAATGCTTAGATTCTACATTATCATTGCTTCCACAAAAACCAATAATTTGACATATTAAATCAGAAATATCGAAGACAATCCAATCAACGCCTGAAAAACAGCTGATGAACAGGTGATGGTTCCGAAAGGCACGACATGGCGGACCTGCATTACATATATATTGGGATAGGCGCTGTGTTTATTCACTTTATTATCTTGGATTACTCCTTGAATTATGACTGTGATAATGAAACAGGTGAAGATCGATCTCGAAATAAAATAAGAGCCATACAAAAATCTGTGAACAATACAACCCCCGGAAATTTCTGAGGTGGGATTAGGTGCCAAAAAGGAGAAAACGTCCCCTGTTGCCCGGTCACATTCCGTAGTCAAATTCTTCTCTAGTATATGCAGTCCCCTTTTCTTCCCCAATTCTTATATAAATGCTACAGTTTGTACATGTAAAGAGGATTTTCAATGCTTCGCAGTTGGATATGGAGTTTTGATTAGGAATGATTTAATTAAAAGTTATTCCAATTGTTATATCTCTGTAAAATAACTAAAAAATGACCCCCACCCCAACCCAACCGAAACACGGATCCCCCGATCATCGTTTGAAGAGCTAGGTATGTGAGAAAATTAGCCTTTGTATTCGGAAAATTTCTTCGAGGTAAGCCGAAACCCATCGTCGCAATTTAATGGACACAAAACCCGTGGCTTGCGACGATGGCCGAAACCTAATCCAAAAAATATACAATTCAATTATTAGATAATACGAAATCGTTAAACAAAAGATTGGCAAGACAGTTTTAAGTTTTATTTAATTATTCCTTGTAGAAATTTTTTTTAAATCAGCGATTGATAGACATTAGTGCGTCTTTTATTATTCCTAATAATGTATTTTTTATTTAAATTGCCTTTGATTTGTATACGAAAAAAAACCCCAAAAAACTATATTTAAGAATTTTTCTCAGAAAACACACTTGAGGATTTTTCTTCAACCCCCCTCCCCACTCCGGTAAATAATGCTATTTCTTTTTCAAAGCATGCCTAATGGTACGCTGATTTTAAATTAAGAATATTTCGAAAACTTATCTATAGGTATATTGTGAGGTGTACATCGTATGTACGTTGTGAAGTGTACGTTGCGTATATTAAACCAGAAGCCTCTGTCGAGACTGTAGCTCTACTGGATTGTACTTATAACAAAGGATGAGAAAGAAGACATTGCCATCAGACTACAACTGTAGAAGGAGTAGCGTTTTAAAGGAATTTCATAGACATTTCTAATTTTAGTAACCATGGCAACACCGTTCATCAAAATCAGCTGCACTATTCTATGTATCTTAGTGTAGTCTACTTGTGGGCCAAGTTATACTGAAATCAGATCAAAACTGTAGGAGGAGTAGCATTTTAAAGGAATTTCACAGAAAATTCTATTTTTAGTAACCATGGCAACACCGTTCATCGAAATCAAAAATCGATGCACTATTTCATGTATCTTTGTGTAGTCTACTTGTTTGCCAAGTTATATTGAAATCAGATCAAAATTGTAGGAGGAGTAGCGTTTAAAATGAAATTCACAGAAAATTCTATTTTTAGTAACCACGGCAACACCGTTCATCGAAATAAAAAACAGATGCTCTGTTTTATGTATCTTCATGTAGTCTACTTGTGTGCCAAGTTATATTGAAATCGGATCAAAATTGTAGGAGGAGCATTTTAAAGGAATTTCACAGAAAATTCTATTTTTAGTAACCATGGCAACACTGTTCACCGAAATCAAAAACCAATGCACTATTTCATGTATCTTTGTGTAGTCTACTTGTGTGCCAAGTTATATTGAAATCAGATCAAAACTGTAGGAGGAGTAGCGTTTTAAAGAAATTTCACAGAAAATTCTATTTATAGTAACCATGGCAACACCGTTCATCAAATTCAAAAACCGATGCACTATTTCATGTATCTTTGTGTAGTCTACTTGTGTGCCAAGTTATACTGAAATCAGATCAAAACTATAGGAGGAGTAGCGTTTTAAAGGAATTTCACAGAAAATTCTATTTATAGTAACCATGGCAACACCGTTAATTGAAATCAAAAACCGATGCACTATTTTATGCATCTTTGTGTAGTTTACTTGTGTGCCAAGTTATATTGAAATCAGACCAAAACTGTAGGAGGAGTAGCGTTTTAAAGGAATTTCACAGAAAATTCTATTTTTAGTAACCATGGCAACACCGTTCATCGAAATCAAAATCGGATGCACTATTTTATGTATCTTAGTGTAGTCTACTTGTGTGCCAAGTTATATTGAAATCAGACCAAAACTGTAGGAGGAGTAGCGTTTTGAAAAATTGTTTACAGACGGACAGACAGACAGACGGACGGACGACGGACACCTTACTATCGCATAAGCTCTTCTGGTCTCTGACCAGTAGAGCTAAAAAATGCAGATATAATTATCAAAAGTTTAATTCAGAAAATACAATGGACGGACATGTATATAATTCTTGAGTCGTATATTTTTAAAAATATGATAAAACAAATATTTTTCAAAATTTAAACACTTCCAAAACAGTCAAAGGTAAAGATGTAGAAAAAATGAATAAATTAAAAAAATATTTCCTATAAAATTCAATAAAATAAAAATGTCCCAAAAAATTTAATCAAAGACGGCTTAGAATTATATCCTGGATGATGAATCTAAATGCCGACGGGACAGCTTTTCGGCCTTGCTCGGTTGAAGAAGGTATCTCGATAAGTGGTGTTGAAATACATTCTTTTATCATCATTCAAGTTCCGGTGTTCAGAAGATTTGTGGCACAAATTCGGACGTTCGGTCTGGACACCTAAAAATAAAATTAATAGATTAAAGTCATTAAACCTTTAATTATCTTATTATCAGATTAAGTTATGGATGCATACTTTCTTTGTGAACCCGTTACGAATTTCAACGTTGCGACGGGTCTCTAAAGGCCTAACACTCAATGCCGTCAGCATCGGAAAGGGCGGCCGGGAGATGCCATGGGCACTTGTTTTGCGTACAGGATACTAGACATCTACTTATTTTAGCAATAAGTAGGGAATGTTCTTTATACAAAACAAGTGCCTGTGGAAGATATGCTAATTATTGTTAATTTGATATGAAGAAAAATTAATTCAAGAATTCACCAAAAATCACACATAAAAATACCCCCAAAACTGTGAGGAGCGACATTACTCTCAGACCAACCCTACCCAAACCCCTTTTTCAGAAACCTGTTGAAGGCCTTGAAGTTTTATTCCACATACCTCTGAAATGTAGCCTCTGGATTGACTGACAGTCCATTTCGCCGGCGGTGGGTACATAGAGCTGTTTGATTTGATAGGTTTTGGCCGGAAGCGCGCCTTTCCACGCCACGTAATGCCCCTGGTAGGTGGTGCACGGCGTCTGGTCGCCATTTCCTCCTTCATGTTTTATAATGTCTTTCCCCGTTTTGGGTTTTATTGGCATTATCCTTTCCACAAGACTCTTAGGATTTTCAAAATCAGCCTGATAAAAAAAAATTATAGGCAACGTTCAGGGAAAAGAAACACGTATCATTCACATACAAAATTATCTTATTGTAAAGTAATCGAAATAGATTTACTCGAATGCCCATGATATTGAATTATACAAATACCACAGACACCTAACGTTCCTTATTTTTCTATTACTAAAAAATATACCCCTACCTAATAATGTGTATTATTTGGGAGGGGGGTAAATTTTTTATTGAAAGAAAAAATAAGTGCCTTTGACAAGTCCGTACCATGTAAGTGCTAGAAAAAGGCATTCCCCCTAGAGGTCTTTGATATTCTGGTTTGATGGCCCAGGTAGGTTTCTCTATGGGGATGACCGGCCACGCCTTGTAAGTTGTATTCTGGGTAGTTCTGCCATCGAAGGGGCCTAAATCGTAGTGATTATTTGAGGTAGGGGGTTTACAGATGGGCTGACGAGGAACGCAAGAGTGTGTGACGTAATCCGCGGTATACGTAGTCATTCCATTGAAGGGGGCGTACTGCATCTTCCTTCCGGGTACGGCGATTTTTGTTGTAAATGCTTCAAGTTTTGGCGGTTCTGAAAAAAAATTAATTCTTAACAAGAGGCCCAGGGGCCTTATTGGTCACCTGAGTATCGTGTAACAACTTTCAAACAATTAAAATTGGTTCGTGCTTTAAACCAGAGGCCATGAAATTTACAATTTTGAAAGAGGCACCATTGCTTATCATAATTATAAACTTAGCATGCTTACTCTGTTTACTTAATACCCAGAGGTAGATCAGAGTAACAAAGAGGAAATGCACTTCCACTTTATAACCAGTTGTGCACCTCACCCCAAAGGAACCACTGACCCTGGGGCCACATATTTCAAAATTTTGCAAATTTTATCATAAAATGGTTGATTAATACTAAAGAGCAGATTTCAAAGCATTAATTTATTTTCAGACTATGTAAACCCCACCCCCTCTTAGACCCAGGGGGAATAAAAAATAACCATTTTGCTAGATGCACCTTTCTTCATCATAAATATATATACTTGGATCACTGGCATAAAACCCAGGAGCAAAGGAAAAGATTTTCAAAGAATTAATGCATTTTCACTATATAATCAATATAGAGCCCCGCCCTAGTACCAGAACCCCTGACCCTGGGGCCATAAAATTCACAATTTTGGAAGTGGCACTCTTGCTCATCATAACTATGTACTTAGTTAGTTTATTTAATACCCAGAAGCAGAGAAGAAGATTTTCAAAGAATAATGCATTTTCACTATATAATCAATAGAGCCCCGCCCTAACACCAGAACCCCTGACCCGGGGGCCATAAAATTAACAATTTTGGAAGAGGCATTCTTGCTCATCATAACTATGTGCTTAGTTAGTTTATTTAATCCCCAGAAGCAGAGAAGAAGATTTTCAAGAAGGATATGGAGATAACGAACAGTATTCAATCTCAAAGTCCATTAAACAATATACAAAATAAGAGCAGAGCAAATACGGACCTCCGAAACATCAGAGGTGGGATCAGGTGCCATGGAGGAGTGAGCATCCCCTGCCGACCGGTCACACCCGCCGTGTGCTCGTTGTCATGATCAGGAAATAACGGAAAAAAACCCGTCGTCAATTCAGTGAATAAATAATGGACTAACAATTGGTATGAAAAACGTCAGTCAGCATTTGACTCAATGATAAATTGTATTTGCTGACAAGGTCATTGTATCGACCATAGAACTTACGAAATGATGACTTTAAACGAGACTGCTGATATTCTTGTTTCATCAACTTGCTTGTCAATAATTTACCTCGTTTAAGAAATTGTTCATACGTAGAGCATGCTCTTGCGTATCGAATCAACTGAGGTATATACGGGCCATTTTCAAAAAAAGTCCACTTTTTTGTCTTTTGATCAGAAAAATAGGGAAAAAAAATTTTAGAGTGAAAGTTTTTTTCCCGTTGGTTAATATACATGGTCATACAGCTTAAAAGTTATTTTATGATCATCTCCCAGGTGTTTTATAAAAGATATTCTATGCATTCCGAGTAAAATTTAACAGTAAAACCATGTCACATTAACAAAAATTTTATAAAGTGCTTATTTAAATGATAGGGAAAATATTACCATGTGAAGATATGTACAAATTTTGCACCTCATATTAATTGAATTTATTTACAGATTAATTTAATATGATTGTTTTACTTATGCCGCCAACTAAATACTAGTATTGTGCATTTAACATTCATGAAGTGACATGTCCCTCCAGTTTATGTCATTCCTGTAACCAAAAAGAAAATGTTAAAATAAAAAGTATCTCACTTTCCTAGGAACTGTTTTCATGATCCACAATATATCATCATTTTCTGTTGTCTCAAGTTTATGCGCGCCATGATTTGAAAGTGAGTAAAGAAAGGGTTCAAAGGTCGATACGTTTGTCTTATTGGTAGAGTATAATTAAAATACGTCCTATCTGTTACCTTCTTAATATGCAAGTACTCTTTAAATTGTTTATTCTGCTAAAACAATTAGATTAACTAAGCTACAAAGAAATTGTTTCAATGTCTCGATGATGCAAAAAGCGTACGTTATACTAAATAACGGGTGATTTATATGAATAACGTCCATCCTGTTACTGTCATTTCTGTTACCATTAATATGGTAACAGTAAGGAAAACTGGACTTCATATCTTGAGTTTTAACAATAAAAACAATTACTTTTATTTTTCTAAGTAATATAAGTTTAATAACACATGTTAAAAAACTTCGTAAATCATATTGAAATATGTTAGTGGATCAAATAGTGCCATTACTACTTAAACATGCACTCTTGTAACAGAATGGACAGAATTTGTAACAGGAGGGACTAATTATCCTGGTATTTATATACCGATTTAAGTTTTATCATTTCTTTTTCTTAAAATTATGAAAAATTCTTAGTTTTGCAACAGCATAGAGTACCTTTAATAAACAAAAATTAAAGTGATAAATATTTTAATAGCACTTTACAATTAAATTTCGTAACAGGATGGACATAAATGTCTTATATTGTCTTGAATTTGCCAGATTTGACAAAATCATGTTTTTATTCTACATTTATTTCTCTTTTCCTAACCAATAAAGTTAAAAAAAAGTCAATTTTTATTTCAAATGTAGATTTCATTGTCCATCCTTTACACTGTTTTGTCCATCCTGTTTCTGTTTTGTCCTTCCTGTTACCTGAGTCCTTACTGTTACCAGTATATTTTCCTAGTTTAAATTGCTTTGGAAGAGCACCTGTTTAAATAACTTTCTGCAACTGTTTATTCTAATCACAAAAATAATGTACAAGAATGTTTTTTTTCAACTATAGCATATAAATATTCAGCAATAAGGCTTTTCATGAAGAAAAAACCATAGATTTTGCTTCTGTTTGGTATATGGTAGTTTGGCATGCTTTTAAACGCTCATATATTAGATGAATGTCAAACATCTTGGCATTCAATGATATTTTTTTCATTTTTTGACGATATACAAAAGATTATTAGATAAAAATTTTTAAATGGACTTTTACAGCTCTTTTTATGAAAGTAACAGGAAGGACATTAAAATTTAAATGACTAAGATAAAATGTCAATATTTTTTAAAAGAAATATTTTTCTTTTATGCAATGCAGTGGATTTTAGGAGTTTATTACTACTAGTATATTATTCAAATAAAGTTGAAAAAGTCATAGTAAAACCACTTTCATTTTTCAAAAATATGTCATTTAAGGTAGGTCCTTACTTTCAGAATTTTCTGTCAAAACGATAATTTTTCAATTTGAATACCTTAAACAAGTCTTAAACTTACTAAAACACCCATAAAAGACATATCTTTGCAGGTTAATTTTCATACAACATGTCTCAACGCACATACCTCTAAAAACTCAACAGCCAAAATTGAACATAAAAAGTGTGATATCATATTTCTCTTAGTTATGCACCAAATCACATCAAATTTATGTTAAAACTTATGAAGATCAAAAATATTCATTTGCCAAGAGAATATTTGAAATTTTTACTGCAAAACATTAACAAATTTGTGTTGAATCTGTCCATGTCTTTTAGAAAAAAATCTCAAAATATCTTTATTTTTCATAATTCTCAAAATCAAAAATGTTTAGATGTCATTTTATCTTTAAAACTATTAAAAATTATATCTAATGTTAACAAAAACAGCTACTTTATTATGGTTGACCAGAGAATTTTAACAAAACAGTCTTTTGAAGATGTATACCCCCATTTTTGGAATATCATTTTTTCAATTATTCAATGCAAAATTTTTAAAAAGTAAAAATTAAATGGATGATCTAGGCTCTAAATCAATAAAAATAGATCTCAGGTTAGTTTGCTTAAAAGAAAATTAAAAAGATTTAGGTTCATAAAAGCAATTAAGAATTTTGTGTCTGTGTATGTACTAAATGGCATATAGATCTTATGGACAGAGTGCAAAGTGTTAATTTCCATAAATAATGTATATTAAATGCTTCATATGCACAATAACACTATAATAAACAAATATATACTTGCTAAATCATTTTCAATCACCCAAAAAGATTTATATCAATAGAAAAGTAAAAATCAGAATTTTATATTGATGTGTAAAATTAGAACCGGATCCGTAAAAGTATGGGCCTTCCGTAAAAAGTGGACATTTTTTGAAAATGACCCATATACTCCGTATGCAGGTGATGAAGGTATATTGCAGCATAAGTAAGGGAAGTTGACGATAGAAAAGTTAAAGTCAAAGAATTAATGCATTTTCACTATATGATCAATAGATCCCCGCCCTAACACCAGAACCCCTGACCCTGGGGCCATAAAATTCATAATTTTGGAAGAAGCACTCTTGCTCACCATAACTATGTACTTAGTTAGTCTATCTAATACCCAGGAACAGAGAAGAAGATTTTCAAAGAATTAACGCATTTTCACTATATGATCAATAGAGCCCCGCCCTAACACCAGAACCCCTGACCCTGGGGCCATAAAATTCACAATTTTGGAAGAGGCACTCTTTCTCAACATAAATATGTACTTAATTAGTTTATTTAATACCTAGAAGCAGAGAAGAAGATTTTCAGAGAATTAATGCATTTTTACTATATGATCAATAGAGCCCCGCCCTAGCACAAGAACCCCTGACCCTGGGGCCATGAATTTCACAATTTTGGTAGAGGACTCAATGCTCATTACATTCATGCCAACAGTTTGCCTGCTTGATGTCCAGGAGTAAAGAAGAAGATTTTTAAAGATTGCAATAATTTTAGTGGTTTTGGCCCCACGCCTCAGGCCCCAGGTGGGCGAGGACCATAAAATTCACAATTTTGTTCCCCTTCACCCATAGATGCTGTATACAAAATTTTGTTGAAATTGGTTCAGTGGTTTCAGAGAAGAAGCTGAAAATGTTCAAATGTTAACACACGACGGCTAGTCGTAAATAATTTATAAACAAAACGACGCACGACGGACGTAAAACGTGTGCAATAGGTCACCTGAGTTACTCAGGTGACCTAAAAATGAAATTAGAAGATTATTTATAGTGATTTTACTCAAAAATTTCATTTAACGTAGAACCTACGTCGTATGACATCATAACTAGTGAATGTGTTTAGCCAGTGCTAGATCCATTATGACGTCATAATTAATTCAATGTCATTTCCCGTACTTTACAGCTTCAGTATAGAAATGGTAGAAAATACTGCATTTTGAAATTCACAGAATTCAATTTAAAATCATGCCGAAATAATCTTCATAATATTCGATTTATGTATTTTTTTGATATAATGCTTAATGACAATATATTTCCTGAATTAGAGAAACCTGTAGGCACCTTTCATTTAATAGATCTTGACCTTAATTAAGTTGACAAATCCAATACTATATTATCTGATGAAATTGCCATGTATACAACAAACTGTAATAATGTAAATGGTATGTAACTATTTTAAAGGAATGCAAAAATCCTAAAAAAAAAAAAAAAACTCGTCAATTGCTAACTAAATAGTGTAATATCTTGATGAAATGTGTCTAAGTCAAAGATGAACATGTTGTAGATTGTGTATACATTTTGTGATATCTATCATGAAATGATGTGCATTCCTTTTCATAATTATTTGTTACTTATTCATATTCTTGGAGTTTTATTACAATTTCTCTATTAAATATGATCTTTTAAATTAAAAGTACAATTTTTTATAAACATTTTTAAGCTGAAAGTAGCCCCGAACAGTCATTTAATAATAAAATCCGTGTAAGTGCAAAAAGGTCAAGAATATTAGTATCGGTAAATAACCTATCTCTCATTAGTTAGAGGGGAAAGGTATATATTTTAATCACTTTTTGTAATCATTTGGGTATGTTCTTTATCATATTAAAGATTGAAAACATTGTGACAAAGACTTCTGATATATATTACAAATGTAGGGTGGAAAATTGACTGAAAATAAATAGAGTTCATTTGCCTATAGTTTTGAAAATGTGGACTTATCTTTTATGACAATTGAATAAAAAAGAATTCATTCTCGGGAAATATTGTTTAATACTGTTCAATTAATAAACAATAAAAACAACGATGTTTAAAGAAGCAATTCTGGGATTTTGTTGTCTCCTTTGCATGACAAGTACCCCTAAAATGACTGAAATTGTGAAGTCGCAAATGTATTTATCATTCCATGTTTAACTGGCTGCTCTACATTTAATAACAAGGAAACATGTCATGTGCTTTTAACTGATTGATAAGCAAGTTCTAATTTATCATTATGAAAAGTTTGAAAATCGTGTGACAAAGACTTCTCCGACATAGGTTCTACCTTAAACAACACCAACTATATATGAGAAGAGCCAACATGGACCTCTAAAAACAGAGGTGGGATCAGGTGCCTTAGAGGAGGTAGCATCTCCTGTCGACTTGTCACACCACCGTGTACTCCTTGTCATGAACAAAAGTCAAACCTCTCTAACTCGATGGGACAAAGGTTAAACATCGAGACATCGAAGAATTCGAGATAGCAGAGGTAAATATTTAAAGAATCATTTTCGATATTCAAGGGTTTCTAATACGCTATTCCCATCATAAACAGGGCTTATGAGGAGATTAGCCAATCAGAAAACCTTTTGATAGCAAAGATGTAAATAATAAGTGGTTCGATCTTCTAAATCCTTTAACATATTCATGGTATTCAAACTATTCGTGTTCGAGATACCGAAGTTCAACTGTATTACCAACCTACAACTGGTTCCGGGACTTGTGGTTCAGGCTTTGTGTTGGTTACATCTGTAGACACAATCTCCTTCTCTTTCGGAACTTCCTCGGCCTTCTTTGCATCCCCTTCAGCTGAAGGTTTGTCCTACATCATTCAATAGAAATAAAAAAAAAAAAATAAGAAAAGTAAATGCACTTAGATATTTTCTTTCGCCATAAAAGTAAGGGATTTCATTTGAAGGAAACGATAGGGATTATACTATTTCGTTTTAGGTTTCAAAAAAAAAAAAAAAAACTGGGAATTTTATGTGTTTTTTCATGCCATCAAATCTTAATAATGTGTGCGTGTGTTTGGGGGATGAGTGGGGAGGGGGGGGGGGTGTTATAATAATAATATCCACTTGTCAGGTACCTGTAAGTCAAACATGGTATTTTAGTATTTTTACCATTGACTTGTATTTACTTCCCTCCTATTAGTTTGAATATTCGTGATGAATATGAATTCCTTGACTTCTTCATAAAAACGCTCTTAAAATCTTAGCTGTCTATACTCACTGGAATGGTGACCTCATACTTTGTTCGCTGGGGTTCGCTTGGTTTGGCGCTGGCTGGGCGACAACTTTTGACCACATCCTTATCAAAGCGCTGATAGGACAAACTGTAAATTGTCTGGTCAGAAAACTTGGCGCTTGAAGGGCGGTAAGATTGCAAAGGCTTGAAGCTTTCCATTTTGAAGGTATTTTTGTCCTACAGAATTAATGCAGCAATGTATGAAACCTGTCTTTGGAAAATGTTATTTTGAAAAGGGCGACGCACTCGAAAAAAGCTCGACATTTTCTTGAATTTTTATTTGGCGTTAAATAATTTTTCAAAAGGGGATGGGTGTGACTCAGGGTTCCAGATTTGTTTGTTTGTTTGTTTGTTTTTTTATTATGTATGGGAGGGGGGTACAGAATCTTTATGTCCCGTGTCATTCCAACCCAACATTTTCACACATAAAAAAAGTATGGCACTTCTATTTTGAACAAATATATGTCAGAATATGAAAAAAAAAAACATATGAACGTCTTTTTAAAAGTTTCAAAACCTGTCAAAAAAAAAATACAAAATGGATAATAAATAGATTTCGAGACTTACTAGTATACAATAAACTGCATACTGGGGTATCTGCATACTGGGGTATATTCTTTTGGCAAGGTGATTGGGTTTGGATTTTATAATTTTAATTAATTTTCAATTTTTCTCTAATAATTTATAATATAATTATCTACTAGTATATTTTTTCCTGTCTCAAAAACGAGGTGATAACATTTTAAAACTGATTACGGACCTCATGGAATACGTAATCCTTCTGGTAGGTGGTCATCATCAATGACAATTTTCCGTTATCCATTTTGTTAGATACCGGCCTGACGGAGTTCCGGGGTCGCTGGAATGGGTACTTTCTGTATGCCTACAAATAAATAAAAAGAAACACTCGATTAAATTGCTATTCACATAATGGGAATAAGAGTTGTCGATCGTTTCCCTTATATGATAAAATACTAATATCTTGTAGAGAAGAGAGCGTTATGGTTTTATATTTCAGTCTATGACTATTATGGGAAAAAAGACTCAAATATAAAAAAACCCATTTCATTTCCGATTTTTGTTTTTCCAAATAAAAAAAAATTAAGGAATATTTTAGTTAGATTTTTAAATCAGTGCATCGGCTAATTCCTAACACGTATCGAGAAATACCCCCCCCCCCCCAAACACACCCCTAGTATCTGTCATACCTACGTCTCCATCTCCCGCGATTTACCTGTGTAGTGTTACACCTGTATATTATATAAATATTGCATGTAGTTGAGTGTAACATTGAAAATTTTCACCCCAAGAAAACCATTGTCAACTGAGGCGCAGCCGAGGTTGGCAATGGTTTTCTTGGGGTGAAAATTTTCAATGTTACACTCAACTACATGCAGTATTTATTATGTTATACTGAATGTTTTATACAAATAAATATAACAGTGAACCGTGCGCGCATAAATTCTGCGCAGTCGCTATTTCTTTTGGAATATCACCCGTCGTCAAGCAATGTTGACTGTTGCTACGCAGGAGGGCGTGGCTTCATTATTCAGCGGGTAATACTGTTTTTTACGTTAATACGTTTTTACGTTTATGTTAATAGTGTCTCTACGAATCAGATTCAAGTAATATTTACATGAAAGTATAATATAATTAAATGACATTTAATAAATGTCGATTGATAATTGGATACTTACCGCTTGGTACTCGGACATTCCCTCCGTCTTACTCAGTAGACGTAACCTCCTCGCCAGTCTGTTGGTGGGGTCATACTGGGAGGCTCCGGTCTTCACATTGCTGGGGTAGTCGTAAATAATTTATAAACAAAACACTTCTAAGTAAAATTGTCTGTTTGTTTATAATATTTCAATGTAAATAATATTTCATAATTAAGCTAATATCCTTGTTTGGGGGTGGGGGGGGGGGGGGGGGGGGGGGGTCTTATGCATTAATAAGGGGTGGATTGAAGGTGGTTTTCAAAAATGCAAGAGCATACATTTATTTTTGACAAATAATTTAAAAAACCCAAAAACTGTTATAACTCTAAACATTAACTTACAAATGAAACGGGTTTTCAATCATTAACTTAAATATCCACAATTTCATGAATTTTCTTGAAATATATTTTTCAGAACTAAACAGAACACTAGTTGTTGGTGCCAGGCACATTAATGGAGGAAGAAGAAGACTGCTTTATTATACTAGTCAGATCGACATCAGTCCCCCTTTCCCCCAAACATTTACATGTAAATACCACATGCACAGACTTCTCTTTTATAAGTAAACAAACATATTTGACTTACCTTTTCTTTCCAGTGTTAATAATTTCAGCAGGAGAAGCTGTCATCACGCGAAATGATAATTTATTTTTGATAAAAAAATTACATATGAAAACCTAACGCGTTTAGCCGTCTAGTCAGCCATCCATGTTGTTACGCTATAACCAAGACGACGTCAAGTTAATTATGACGTCATTAGTATCTCAAGATCAGATCCATTATGACGTCATAATTGAAACAATACCTTTTCCTGTACTTCTTAAAAGATGTAAATTTCCCGGGACTATTTTTCCCTACGAATATTATTATGCAGATATGGAGTTGTATCGTAATATAATACTGAGGGTTGCTACCTGGAACTTGGCTTTCAAATACATGAATGATCACTGTAAATTGTTTTCAACATATTATACGTGTAGAAAATGAAAAATATCATCTAAAGGCATTTTCGTAGCATTTGAAATCCTTATGTAAAAGTGATCTGGATATTCTTGTTGAATTAAATATTATTTTTAGGAAGTATTTAAGAACCAAAGAGCAGAGAAGACTATTTTAAAAACAATGCTGCATTTTTACAAAGTAATCAACAGGGCACCGCCCTAACAATGATTGGAACACCCCCCCACCCCTGAAAAGGGGGCCATGGTGATTTTCACACATTTTTGAAGATCGTAACCATCAAGTTTTAGCTCATGGTTTATGTTATAAATATACAATGGAGAGAAAAGCTTTTAGTGGAGTGTAAACAGTTTCACTATATGAAAAAAAATTAATATGGAATATAAAGGGGGGGGGGGGTATTTATATTTATAATATTAAAAAAAAGAGAGAATCTTTAAGTCGCCTGCGTGGAATTTTTTTTTTTTTTTTTTTTAGAAAATATAATGATACAGATGCGTTCATAAACTGCATGACGCTTTCTCAATAATTGAAACAAAACCTCTTGTTTGAATGTCCATCAGCTAAATTCTGGACACTATCACATAACCACCCCCTCCTCCGCCTTCCTCAATTCTCTACTTTTTAGATCGAGCAGATGATCCTTTAATCAAGTACTAAATTTTACCCCTGAATGTTGAACTTTTAGCTTCAGCCTACTATATTTAGAATTGGGTCATAGATGAGAAAAGAAACGGAATGAAAGCTATACTGCTATTTATGGTAAGAAGTTTGAATTGTTACCTATGATATTTATGTTATCTGAATCAAATGAAGCAGAATGTATAGTTTACACTGATCGCAAAACACGGATGATTTTCTTTTTAAAAAGTTACCCTGCAGTGATATATTCAATGTAATAAATGAAGATAATGAACAGTATACAAGCTCTATTCAAGCGCAAGAGTCTGAAGTTTTTATCGTTAAAAAAAAAAAAGAAAAGAAAAAAAAAAAGAAAGAAACGGGGAAAAAAAATTCCCAACTCAACTGTTTTTTTATAGTTGAGTGTGGGAAATTTTTTTCCGGATTTTATTTTTTATTTATTTTTTTATTATCATTATTTTTTTTTGGACGATAAAAACTTCAGAGTCCTGTGATTCAAGCAATACAAATCAGGAGCAGAGCAAACACGTACCACCAGCAGAGGTGGGATCAGTTGCCATTGATGAGTGAACATACCTTACATGCCGGTCACAATTGCTTTGTTTTCTTTGTCTCGATCAGGAAATAAGGGGAAAATCCGTATACGATTTAGTGTATGTTGGCCTAACAATAAGTATCAAAATGTGAGTCAGTATTTGACTTACTCTGCATGCTAACGATCGATTGTATTTGCTGACAAGGTCATTGTATCAGCCATACTCCTAACATGTGACATGATGACTTTAAGTGAGACTGTTAATATTCTCGTTTCATCAACTTGTTTTTTTTTTTAATAATTCATCTCATTTTAGAAATTACGGCGCCGCCGGAGGGCCAGGAAAAGAACTATTTTTATTTGTTCGGACGAATTAGAAATTCGTTCGGACGAATTAGATATTTGTTCGGACGAATTAAATATTCATTCGGACGTTAATTAAAAATTCCAATTCGGACAAATTAGTTATTTGTTCAAAACAGAATATAGATATTTGTTCGGACGAATTAGATATTCGTTCGGACAAATTAGATATTTTTTCAGACGAATTAGATATTCGCTTACGGACGATATGCATTCAGAAATTCGTATGGACAAATTATTATATTTGTTCAGACGAATTAGAAATTAATTTCTCGACAAATTAGTTATGTGTTTGGACGGATTAGATATTTGTTTGGACAAATTAGATATTTGTTTGGACAAATTAGATATTTGCACAAATTATCTTGTCTGGAGAGATATACAGTTTGTTTATTGAGGAGGATTCACCCCTTTTAATACATAAATAGCTCTTTGGACCATAACAAACACACGTTGTTACAAGACATGTGCTATTAAAGTTGGGTATGTCGATTGTAAATGTTCGGAAATGATGGTACTTATAAAATATCTATTATAGGCCTAAAGTCTGCCATTCTGGAAGTATATTATCTGAGAGCCCACTAGTTGAAAGGGTCCGTTACTTCTTATTAAACATCTTGTCACTCCCATCCCTGACACACTCATAAGATTTTTCATAAATAAACATCATCTTTTTCAACCAGATCAACTTTTGCTGGTGATATTAAAATGTTAACGCCGGGGTGCCAGTGGTCAATTACCATTTCTGTGAAAAAGATGAGATCCACTCCTCAAGTTTTTATTCCTACTGTATTATATTAAATAAACATCGGACTCGAAATATCTCTTTATTATCCGAAAGTCTTAATTTTTTAAAAGGGGGAGGCTTACTAGCTAGGACATTTATAGTTTTGTTTCTATACCGCCTTTCCCACATTTAAGTATTTTGTGATAAAGGAACAAAAGGAGGGAGTTTCATAGATCTATTTCTCCAATGGCAGTTTTCCTAGATCGTTAAAAACTATTATCTAGCATCTATATTAATTTTTTTTATATATTTAAATATCATGAATATATTTAAATATCATGAATTTATGTAACATACAGGTAATATAGACCAAATTAAACACACACCCTTCCCGGGGAAAAAAGGGTAAAAATAGATGAATACGTTTCTAGAAAGTGCAGTAAAATTTAAAAGCACAAACATACTATAATTTAATGCAAATTAAGCTTCCCAATGATTAAGACAACTGATTGTTTTTAAATAGAGGGGGTTGTTACTTGAAAATATTCTGTCATTATTCATTCATGATTTATTTTCCTCATAAAACGAGTTGGTTTCATAATTCCTCTTTTCTAGTGAGTCATTGGCCTATCAAACCTTCGAACTGGTACTGTAAAATCGTATAAACAAAACTAAGAAATGCTGCAAGGGAAATTCAATATTTTGTTCGACTACTCTCCAATAAGGGGGGGGGGGCCTATAATTATGCTCTGTAAAGCTATGGACTACGGAATATACCAGAATGGATCCCGAGTCATAGGAACAACCTGGGATCAATACGATCAGGTCCATTTTTATGGAGTTTTCTTAATTCACAAAATGGAATATTTAAAAATCATTGAGGACGTTTTTTTTCATCCTATACATCGCAGATTGATTGATTAATGCTTTACGCCGAATTGGCAATATTTCAGCCACATATCAGCGACATATGTACCAGAAATGTATTTCAAAAATCAATCACATGTCATAATTAATAAATGCAGGGTAGTGAATTTGTACATAGAAATGATAATAAAGAGATCAATATGAAAACAACGTATCTTCAATATATCTATTGATGGTGTTGTTCATGAAAGTTATTTTGCAAAGAATCAAAATATAATGAAACGTCTTGGTACAAATCGCACATTAATCGCGGCGTCATGACAGTTATTCACATTTTCACTTATTCGTCCATACAAATAACCAATTCGTCCGAACAAATATCTAATTCGTCCGAACAAATAACTTATTTGTCCGAAAGAATTTCTAATTCGTCGGCACAAATATCTAATTCGTCCGAACAAATAACTTATTTGTCCGAACGAATTTCTAATTCGTCCGAACAAATATCTAATTCGTCCGAACAAATAACTTATTTGTCCGAACGAATTTCTAATTCGTTCGAACGAATTTATAATTCGTCCGAACGAAGTTCTAATTCGTCCGAACAAATGAAAAAAAAATATCCTGGCCCTCCGGCGGCGCCGTACGAAATTGTTCGTACGTTGATCGAACATGATCTTGCGTAATAAACATAAGGGCATATTGCTGCAGAATTAAGGGAAGTTGACGATTGAAAAGTCATCACGTTTATCATAAAGCGTTGTTGTTAAATTTCAGTACACAATCTAATTTCACTTTATTGCGACTTTCAAATCCAACCTATCTTACAAAGAAAAATGTATTAGTATTGGGTAATATATCAGCAATGATAAGTAATAAATAGTTATCAGTTAAATGTAAGTTCTTTATTAAAATTTTAATCGGATCTAAATTAACAACCGCATTATAGGTGTTTATTCGATGAAAAGGATATGGCGTGTTTAATTTAATTACTGAAAATCAAATGTAGTGTCACGATTCTCTAGCTGAAAACTTTATTGTTATACTTGACAATACAAATTTTTTTTTTATCAAACTTAAATTTGATCCTAGTAAATATTTTTTTCTTACATTAGAATGTATTTCGTGCCATAGGGGAGTGAGCATCCCCTGCCGACCTGTCACACCCGCCGTGTGCTCCCCGTCATGATCGGGAAATAACGAAAAAAATCCGTCGTCGATTCAATGTGTATATAATGGATGAAAAATTAGTATAAAAATGCCAGTCAGCATTTGATTTAATGATAAAATTTGTATTTGCTGACAAGATCATTGTATCGACCATAGAACTCACGAAATTATTACTTTAAACGAAACTGTTGATATTCTTGCTTCATCAACTTGTTTTTCAATAACTTAAATTGTTTTAGAAATTGGTCATACACAGAGCATCTCTTCCGTATTGAATCAACTGAGATATACGTAAACCCCGTATGCAGGTGATGTAGGTAGATTGCTGCATAAGTATGGGAAGTTGACGACTGAAATGTTAGTCATCACGTTTATCATATTAAAAGCTTGGTTGTTATATTATAACAATTTTTAAAAGTCTTTTTTCTTGTTAAAGATACAAATATGAAACAGACTGTCAGATTCTGTATCATCTTTTGTTTCAAACTAACCGGGGTATATCGAGTCGACGTAAGCATGAAAATAACTAATATGATTACATGTAATTGACAATACATCGTCGATATACTGGTATTTAAATGTCAGGTTGAAGGTCATGACCTTTTGTCACCTTAAGGTCAAGATCTAGTAAATGTCCTTAGACTAACATTTTGGTGCTAGATCCATTATGACGTCATAATCACTTTCAACTTTCTTTTTCCCGTACTTTACGGCTCTAATAGAATTATGTTGAAAATAAAGTATTTTCATGGAATTCAATTTGAAATCATCTGAAAAGTAGTCCGGATACCTATATTAAATTTAACATTATTTAAAAGAAGAGACCAAGAACATACAAATTACCGTTTTCTGAAAGACTGTAGGCAATCTGGATACATTTTATTTGTGTGATATGAAAAAAACTCTCATATTCGTGACTAATTTTCTTAATTTTTCATTGAAAATGAGAGTTTAAAATATGGTTTTTCATCTTATTTTCATACAAATTATGCCCCGAAACACCTTTTTTGACCAAGCAAATGTTATAAAGCATCATTAAAGGAATTCATTTCTTGAATTTGATAAATCTGTAGGCACCCTTCATTTACTAGATCTTGGCCTTAATTAAAGATTTTGCACAAATTCTGCTTCATTTGAATACAAAAATAGGTCTTCTAAAACAAGACGTAACTGGTATCCATTGGAATTATAAAAGATTTTTGGAAGACCAGGTTTCGAAAAACCAAATAGATATTGTCAATCAAAAACTCAAGCATCTTTTTAATACCACCTTCGGAGTACGTGCGTGTTCAATCAGATTTTATTTTTTTAAAAAGTAATTTTGCAAATGACCATTTTTTATTTAAAAAAAAACAAGGTGAAAAGTTTTACAAAAGAACTTACTAAGACCAAAAACTTCAGATGATAATAAAAATTTTTTAATCCTCTTTGAAAAAAAAAACCACATTCTTTTTAAAAAGTTTAAAATAATTTTCGATATAATGTAACTTAAAATTTTATATGAAGAATTAAATTTGGTCTTAAGTCGTAAGTCCTTTTGTGGACTTTAATTTATCGTGGTGAATAGTTGTATATAAATTTGATAAAGATAATTGTCAATTCTTAAAAAAAAAATAATACTGTAGACGTTAAAACTTTTATATTTCTTTTTATTTCAGTTTTGCTGCAAAGTGGCTTTTACAGGTAAGCTTGTATACATGTAGAAAACAATAGATCTATACTGTATTTGTGATATTTATGTATTTATCTGAACCTGAGAAATAAATGGTAACGTTTATAAACTAAACTAACTGTACCCTAGCTAGGTAATTCTGGTTCATTATAGCCATGTGTCTTGTTGCTTGCCAAAGAGACTTTGTCTTTACCATAAGGACTGCAAGGTTCAGACCCTGCCAAATCATAACTTTCACTAAAACTATCAAAGACCATCACGGAATCACTGCTGCCTGCTCCGTGATGAAGGGTTTGATTTCTTTTAACCACAGGCGCTTTAGGTTTTTAATCTTTCTTTTCATAAATAAAAATAGTATATAGGCTATAAGGGTTATTTTTATTTTGGAAAAGAAAGGTTAAAAACGTCAAGCGCATGTGGGTATAATCAAGCCCTGGCCGCGGCAGAACATTGGTAGCAACTGTTCCTTCCCCAAGCCCCGTCACTTAGAAATAAAAGTTGCGTATTGATTGTACCTTAAAAATAAACAAGTGTCAGTGTAGGCATTGCAATGACAAAGATACCCCTAGATCTGCTCTGTATACACTTTAAGAATCTACAAAGGTTAAATTTGAATGTCATTCACTAGTTTATAGTGACGAGACGTAACCTCATACCATTGAAAAGTTTCAATTCCTAGGAGTGAAATATTGTCTGATATGACGTAAAACAACAATCAATCTACATCTCAATAATTAAGCTTTTTTGAAATATGTCTTCATTTAAGGAGGCTAGGGGGTCAACAGATTATTTTTTTTATGAACCATCAGATATAACTTATTTTTTCAGATATGATATCTTGAGCTGTCAACTATCATTTGGCAAAGAAAAATTTCATAAATTATATTTTAAAATTTGATCATTTTATTATATCTTCATATATAGAGCTCTTCTTCTAAAGGAGAACAAAATAGACTAAAAATGGCCACGACCTCCCAGCCTCTTTAAATAAAATATGGAGATATCGAGCAGTATTCAAGCTCAAAGGTCCATTCATCTGAAACAATACATAGGGGTATCAGAACAAAACATCCGATATGGTATAAGGTGCCATGGAGAAGTAAGCATCCCATGTCGACCGGTCACAACCGCCGTGTGCTGCTTGTCATGACTGGGCAAACATAGACCATGCAGTATCCAGTGTGCATATAAATTGTTATGAAAAACATCAGTCAGTATTCAACTTCCTGGCAGATTGAACTTGCTGACAAGGTCATTGTATCGACCAAGAAGCTTGCGACATTATGAATTTAAAACAAAATTGTTGAAATTCTTGTTTCATCAACCTGTTGTCAATAGAAAGCCGTCTTTTAGAAATTGTTTGTTCATGTAGCATGTTCTCGTGTATTGAATCAACTTGGAAACATAAACCCAATGCAGGTGGGCAAGTAGTAAGGAAAGATGACGATAAAAAAACGTTTATCATAAAGGTTTTGTTGTTAGATTACCATTAACGTCTTCTTCTAGTAAAATATCCAAATATAAAACAGATATTTCACATAATATAAATATTCTCATAAAATATTTAATATATATATTGGTATAGTAGTCTATATATGATGTATATATGAAAGACATGTTTTAATTGGCAGACTATCAACGACACATTGTCACTATATGTCTCATATTATACAATTAAAAAGCAAATGAACGACCTCAACTGTTTACAGTATATGAAAATAACATGGCAATTATTTCCAATTTCACTTTGATAGATATTCTATTATTGATATCAGTAATATAACTAATGTCTTCTATTTTCTTGAAGCTGTGCAGGGATCCACTACAAAAAATTACCAAGTAACTCTTACCTATATTAACGGTATGTATATTAAATATACTGGACAAAATGTTAAGGATCATCAAATTAAATATGTTTTACAAATACTGTATCATAGAGAACAGAATGCAGTTTTAATTTTAGTATCATATTTTATTTTACAAAAGTGAAAATTAAACATTGGATGTGATAAATTTGCTGGAACACACGCTACGAATTGTTCATTACGGTCTCTTCAGAATTCGGCATGTTGGGGGTAGACCTGAAATTGAGATTTTTTTCAGAAAAGTCAAATTACGTCACTACAATGTAAAATGATTGCCAGTATTTTGTATGACCTCCCCGTGAGGCCCTGTAGCGCAGACCCATGCTATCCATCACCCGTCCAAGGCTAGCCTGTCGGATCTGTTGCCATTCCTCCTGCAGTACTGTCTGAAGCTCCCGTCGATTTTGGGGAAGTGTAAGACGAACTGAAATGCGTTGCTAAAGAATGTTCCAGGCATGTTCAATTAACTTCAGGTCTAGAAAATGATTTGGCGGGTCCATACGCTAAGTTGTTTCACTTTCCTTGCACTCGTTTACGAATAGGACTCAAAGAGGTCGAGCATTATCGTCCATTAAGATGAAATCCTCCCCCAGCGTACATGCAATACGTCTAACAATAGGATGAAGAATATCCTTTCGGTATTTTAAACCTGTCAGGTTGCCTTCAATGATGTGCAGATCAGTTTTGCAGTCAATACTTATGCCTGCCCAAATCATCACCAAACCTCCATTTACTCTGTATTGCTCAAAAATGACACAATCAGCATATCTTTCCCCATTTACCATCCAAACAAGACTTCTGTCATCATGGAAGTCAAAACAAAATCGCGACTCGTCTGAGAAGATAACAGAACACCAATGACGTTATTGCCAATTTTTTGTGTTCTGTTGCCCACTGAAGTCGATTTCTGCGACACTCTAATTTTAATACAGGACGTACGGCTGGTCGGCAAGCCTTGAGATTTGCTTCCTGAAGTCTGTTTCAAACTGTTTGAGTAGAAATCCGTCTGTCCGTTGCTCTCTGATGCCCAGTTTTTAAGCTTAAGAACACTTTGGAAGCGGTGCGTCTCAGCAAAATTTGGCCAAATAACGATCCTTACGGACTGCCGTACACCTTGGACGTCCCGATTTTAGCCTTTTTTGACAATTTTCTGCCTGTGAATATCGGTTCCATAGCCGTTAATTCCGCTTTGGGAAAGATAAAGTATTTCTGCAAGTGACGTTGCGTTTTGCCAGCTTCCAGCATCCCTGCTGCCATGGAGTGTTCGTTCATACTCATATGCCTCCTCATAGCGTCTTATCACCAGTTCTGGCCAGATATACTGAAATTTTATGTTATGTTCACTAAAGAAAATCCTCTTTGATACTTCTATGCTTCTATTGTTCCACTTACTTTTTTTACGCCACGTACTTTCTTGACCAGTATGTCCCAAAACTCATTAAACACGTGTGACTTAAGTATCGAATCGTGTTAATGACATGTTTCTAAAACTACTTAAGCCTTGTTGTCACATAAATTCATGGGTATGAAAATATTATTCGTATGTAAAAATATGATCCTTAGCTTATTTTGCCCAGTATATTCACAAATTTACACATCATTTATCAGATTTACACTGTGTTAAGAAAATATATATTTTCCTTTTATCAATTAGCGGTTAACAAATACTTTGGTTTGAAAATCAAATCTCATTTGTTAAATCATTACAGTCCATACCTACGAGGGCCGTTCAATAAATAATGTCATTAGCTCCATGACATACAACATAGAAGTTATATGGCATTTAGATTGACTTTCTTTCATTATTGAATCTTTAATGAATTGTATTAAGATGGTTATTAAGATGGCAGGTTGAAATTAAAAAAGGCAAAATTAAAAAGGGAATGTGGAATATACAAACGTATGTTTAAAGGATTATGTTTTTAAAAGAAAAAAAATGCACATCAACAATCTCTCAAATCTTTATAAAACTACTGTAAAATCACATATTTTCAAGGGGTCAAATTTTCGTGGTTTGAGAAATATATATATTTATATTATACTTGGGGATTTGATTTCGTGGTTGAAGAATTGACCAGTAATAATATATGTGAAAAATTGCATATCGTGGTGGACATAAATTCGTGGGTCACTTCATACCTTGAAAACAACGAAAATTAAACTCCCACGAAAATTAGTGATGTCACAGTAATTACGCATCGGGCAAAAACATGGATCTTTGAAACGCCAGAGAAGGGATTAGGTGCACAGAAAGAGAAGGCATCCTTTTGACCAGTGCAACTGCCTATTGCATCGATCAATTTAATGAATTTGTTAAATTGGTATTGACGTTCAAGTCTTACAGTGGCTCTGCCAGAGGTATAATTTGTTTTAAAACTTTTAAATTTGATGAAAGTCTTTGGTGGGTATAATGATTTTGTTTGCTAAAACAACCGAAAGTTGGATCGAATATCGTCTGGCATTTTAAAGGACACCTAAATTGTAATACCATTATGACTATCTATCACTCTCCTTACTTGATCAATACAGATGGGTCATTACAGGCACGATCGGTCGAGGATGCTTTCTGCCACTGACATGTTAAGCTGCACCAAATCCTATCCATGTTGTTTTTTTTTTTTTTGGGGGGGGGGGGGGCATGGAATTGTTTTTTTAATATTTGTTTTGTTTAAAGGATCAATGAGATATATCAATTTTTTGTTATTTTTACCTTTTTAAAAATATTTTATCATTATCCTAATAATATTCATATTCTTCAGAAACATTTCGGAATTCCGATGTATACCTACCCTATAGTAATTATGGAAGGATCAGGATTTTTAACACCGAACTTTGTTCAGATACTTCGTCCGTTGACAGAATTATTGGAGAGACTCTTTGTAGGTCAAAGGGTTTAAATGTAGGTGTTATTGGAAGGTAAGTAAAGTAAAATTATTAATGCTAGAGAAAATAAATGTATTAATGCTAGAGAAATTTGTCGATTATTTCTCTTTTTCTAGTATATTGTCAAATGAGTTTTAAATATATTATCATTTTTTAACAAGAAAAATGTTATTACACACACAGTAATATGCCTTTGCATTAATTTCCTAATTTTAATACATTATATTTTGTAAGTTTATTTTAGTTTATTTAAATTTTATTTAAAAACTCTCATGCTTTATTTCCGCATTAAAGCAACATTTAATTTTTTTTAATTATCTCTAGGGATAGATTATACAAAGACAATAACAACACATTGGACATTTCTTGTTCCTCGGTGAACATATCTGATTGTAGAGTTACTCGACATGCCGACCATTGTTCTCATGTTGTTTATCTCTATTGTGACGGTATGATACTTACAATATTTATTGTGAGTTTTTTTTGATGCAGAAAAACTCACAACAAAATAAGATTAAAATCAATACAAAAAATAAAATTATATATTCGAAATTTAATATATATATTTAGTAGTTGAAAGTGTGTAGATCCCAGTAACTTGTAAAGCGTTTCTACATTTCTTTGCTTTATATATTCCTTCGACTGCACACAGTCCATGTTCAATAAATTAAAACGACTTATCAATATCCTAGATAAAGGGGCTGTTCACTCATCCCATGTACCGCCTTCTGGTTCTGTGAGTCACGTGACGAAAACGACTACTATTGGTGAGTGTGATCACATTCAATTTTTCAAATTTTGGTACAGGGTAATGTTGAGGCTTTTTTAAATCCTTTTTTTACTGATTGCATGCAGTTTATATAAAAGTAAATAATTTCCCAAAGACGTAGCTTATCACATTTTTGACAAATACAAATTGGTAAAGAAATGTCTCTTTTTTATGATGACATCATCGGATAAATTTCTGTATCCGATAAATCGTTTTTTTTCCTGACAGAATAAATCCTTTCAATTTTTAAGAAGTGGTTTTTTTCCCCGACAGAATAAATGATATAAAAGCAGACGACTTTAAAACTTGTTTAGGATAAAATCTCTTTGAGGGAAGATACTTTTCGCTAGACACTTTCCTTTCGGAATTGTAGATTCTTTTTCATAAATGGAAAAACTAGTTAAATTGCATACCATTTTTCATTTCCTTCCACAATAGGGGGTTCTAGTTATTTACCAAAAGTCTAAAGATTGTTATGCGTTCCAATTTTTGGTATTTTTCGTTTTCTTGTTGTCTTCTTTGTTATAAAAAACTGTCATTTAAAGATACTGGTATTTTCTGCAATCTGTGTTGGTGGTAGCATATCGTTACATAATTTCATAAGTTTTGTCATTAATCATAAAACACTTGCCCTATATCACTTTTTCATGTAGAAAGTCTAGGTTATGAACACAGGGATTTTAACAATAACAGTGAGACATTTTTTTCTTAGACGTCATAATGGCTCAATTCCGACTCTTTTGACGGTAGCATGTGTTTTGCATATAATCAAATAAGATAATCAGGTTTTAAATTGTAATTTTATTTATCTTTCCCAAAGAAATATTAGATATTCATTTCTATTTGTGTAATTATTTTTTTTCATGAAATAGATTTTTTTGGTTCACAGGAACGACGAGAAAACTAGGTAGGAAACATTTTGGTGAATCTTTTATAATTTTTCACTCTAAATGTTTGCACCCAAAGTTTTAGCGTTTGAATGAAACATTTCATTTCCTTTGATACCTTGTTAATGTTGATGCCTGTTTTACACAATCCTTCCTATTTGAAAACGAGACGACACAGTATTACGCAATATTCATCATAGGTTTTATTTTTCAGTGTCATATGACGTCAAATTTGTCTTTACACAAGCCGGGCGAGTAGAGGTTCGGGGTAAACAGATATGTTTCGACACATTCACCTCGACTGCTGGCAAGGCACTGTGTTCAGCTAAGGGGTTCATATATTCTTCACATGAAAGGTTCATATAAACTTTGTATTTCTCAGTGTACAAAGATAATAATGCACCTTTTTAAAAACACTTGCAAAAAAAGAGGTTATTTAGATATTGTCAAGAAGTTATGCTTTCTTACAAGTCTTTGGGAACATATTTGAAACATTGATAAGTGTACACAAGAGTACACAATTGATCAATATAGAAATAATAATATTAATTTTAATATGTACAATTGTATTGCCTTTTCAGTATATTTTTTGTATTTTATGGTGTCACTTTTGGTAACATGCTTATTTCAGACCAAAAATCAAATGTAATCAAATGACATTGATGCAGATTCAAGGACAGCCACATTAAAAAATGAATGTCCAAAAGTTTTGTTCAGCTACTAACTACAAGTTATAATTATCTTCTTATCTGTAATAGTTAACATGCACGTACCTTACCACATTTTATTTATTTTTGTTGCAAATAAATATATGCTTATTATCTATTTCTCTGTTTAGTGCCCTTGTCTATCTCACGATTCCATATGCAGATATTTTTTGCTCTGCACCGAATTTGACATCCTGTTCATTAAAGGTCCCAAAGACATATTGTCGCAATGTTGTCTCCATCCACTGTTCTAGTAAGTAAATCTGTAGTTTACTTTGATATGATTCTTCTCTAGAAAGCATTTTGAGCTTTCACTTTAGTACAACATTGCATACTGAATAAAAACATTTATAGTGATAGTAACATTGGTATGTATACACTTTTTATAATTTCATATGATTTTTTTTACAAATATTTTTTTAATTCCAATCATCTGCAATGTTATTCTGTTAAAAGCGTTTGAACTGGTCCTCTGAAGTTAATAACAAAAACTCGCTTGAGTTTCTGACTGACACTTTCGTTAGATATCAATATGGAAGTTTGGATCTTTAAACAAGTCATTCCTCGATGTGTAATACCTGCTACATTCTTTGGATATTTTACTAGAGGAACAGAATAATTGCAAAATTAACTAAATTTTCTATGGAAAAAATTTGATCACTTGATTAAAATTTTACTTCGTCAATTTCCCTCTTTTATATAAGAATGTACTATTATCACCTGCATATATAGTTTAATTTGTCTCTTATGAAAATGCCATAATATTTTCTGCGAACAAATTTCGTCCAAAAGAGGCAAGCTTTTGACGAATAATATGATGAAAAAAGATTTCAAAATTCTTATTTCACACAGTCTATGCAATGACCTGTAATAAATACAATCTAAAGTCAAGTCGAATGGCGACTGAAGACTTTAATAAAAATTGTTAAACCATTCATTTCAACACTAAATTTTTTACAGAATATTTGTTTTCCCAAGTGGGAAAAAAAACGCACGGCGGGATACCCGGTCGACCGGGAATTCTTACTTCTCCATGGCAACTGATCCTGCATCGGAAGTTTTAAGAGGTCCTTGTTTGCTCTGCTCCCTATTTCGTTTTGAATGTCTTTTAAGTTAGATAACTGTTACTTTTCTTCATATGTCATCCCTTACAAAATGAAAAATATTAGGCTTTAATTAATAAGTTCATGAACAATGCTTGGAATATGGATTACTAGTATATCATAAAATTGTATAGTTGTTGATTAATAAAAAAAAAATCGAATGCAAACCTTATATTTTACAAAGTAGTCTTTTGAACAGTTTGTATGTTTTTAAAATTTGGATTTTCTTGAAAAGAAGATTGATTTTTAAAAGCCTTTTCACCCTGAAAAGTATTTCATTTTATTATTCCATGTATTCCCTTTCCAGCTCACACAACACTTACACCAAAATCAACTGTTCTTACCTCGACGAGCTTTCCCGGTATGTAGATGTATCAACATGTACAAAAACTAGCACACAATCATATTTTGACATACAATATAGAATAAAATGTTAATTTTGAAATGTACACTTGTATAACTTTTTGAAATTTATTTGTTGTAGTTCATGGTGTCACTATCGGTAAGTCAATTTGAGTAAATGATATTTTTTATTCTTATATATTTCAATAAACAGCATTAGATAAAATAACTTTTTTTCTTTCTTATGTACGATATTTATCATAATAAAAACTAGCATTATATAAAGCAGATTTGTATTTTACCGTTTAATTGCGATATCTCACTTTCATTGCATGACATACTTCCCTTTTTCTTCAGTTGAGTTTATCATAAAAATACATTCGACACTTTTTGGAAATGATGTAATTGTTGAAATCATATCATCAAAATATAATGTTTATTCAATTTCCAAAGGAAGAAAATCATGCTTTTTACTCAGTTTGGCTTGTGCTTAAAAAAAAAACAACCGGCGAAGAAGAAGCTACTGTATGAATGATTTTGAAATAATGACAAGTTTTTTCAGGAGCGAGAGGCATCTTTTTTGCATTTCCGTATGGTGGAAGGGTTAAGATTAATTCCCTCGAGATTTGTTATGACACCTTTACAGAAAAAGCAGGAGAAGCATTGTGTCAAGCAAAAGGCCTGCATTACAGTTCATTTACCAAGTAAAATCCAATTTAACTATTAAGGATAATAATTACCGGAAATAAACCAGTTTTACTTTCATACTTCTTATAATTTAAAATATTTTATATGTAGATAATAAACTTAATTATGTGCAATTGCAATGATCTAAATTATTTTTTGTGTTCAGATGTCATTGCAGTGAACATGTGTGATGTGTTTACTTAGGCAATGCTGATTGCATCTATTTAAAATACTTTTTCAGGGGTTTTGCATACAATCGATATCAAACAGAACGTATGTACTGTAGGACAAACTTGCTTTCTTCATGCTATACAGTCTCGCATATTTGTATCGAGGTGGTCAATATTCACTGCAAGGGTGAGTCCTACTTAAAATTAAGAGTCAATTTTAATTAACGAGGCCCGATCTACTTGAACTGCGCATACGTTTTAACGCAGCGTCGACTCAGGCACGTCACAGTACCCTTGACTGCCGTCACAATTGAACACAATAACGTCACAATTAAAATGACGTCAAATTGCGCTAAAATGTTTCGCTGATCTTGCATACCTGGTAGCTCTATAGACTATACATGTTGAAAGCTGGTATTTCTATTATTTACATTTTTTTTTTAATTTAATTAATAAACAACTTTGGAACATGATTTATTTTGAGATATCAATTTCTTGGTACATATTCATTAATTTTACCTTGTTTTATTTCAATTTGTGAGTTAAAAAAACAAACACTGCAACCAAACGTAAACGATTTTAGTCTTTCTCCTTGAACATGTTGAAGTGTTTATACACACCCGTTTTTCTTGAGGACTTAAATATGCATGGATCAGCTTGAGTTAAGAAAAATCAGTCTATGAAACATTTAAATGCAACCCCCGAAATATTTTATTTTTCTATATAATACATGATATTAGTAAAATTCGTTATTTGTTGCCCTTTTGTCGCCCCCCCCCCTTTTTTTTTTATGTATAACAACGTAGCGTGTTAAGAAAAAAATAAAGCATGGGGAGAAAAATTATTTCAAAATGTAAGAGTTATTTACTTTTTTTAGAAACTAATACAGTATTGCAATCGTTTGTTGATGTTATTTAAACCCACGGCGACTTATTTCATATCTAGTTGGATAAAATAAATATTAATTTTGTGTTTTGATATGCCCCCTTTTCACTGCAATAAAGGCTACCTCCAACTTTCTTTTCATTTTTTATAAGAAGAATGAAAATTGCATGATATATGTGAAAAACAAAACATTTCATCATGTAATTTTTTTTTTATTTTCAATTTCTTTGTTTATTGGAGAATTTTACTATGTAATTGTGTATAAAAAATTAAAAACACGAAAAATGGTCCATATCTTGACAGTGCCCCCATTTGACTACAATAAAGGCAAGGTAACCAAATTTCATTCTAATTTTTCTTTGCATAATACATACAAAAATATTTCCAAAAATTAAAATTTTTTATCATTCCGTTTTCGTAATTTTCAACTAGATCGGGCCTCGTTAAACAGATTATCACAATGATATTTGTAAAACTTATTTTTTCTGGTAAAATTTTTTTCAAATCTTTTAATTTTAATGCAAAAATTTCAGAAAACAGCAAATAAACTTTTTTTCAAAGAATATCCAAGGCTTACTTTTTCAAGTAGAACTTAATCAAAACAACCTGTTTCATTACATAAATTTTGAAAATGAAAATTTTGAAAGAAAACAAAAAGATAAATGAATTTTATGGAATCTTATAAGGACCGATAATGACGACGGCTAGTATTGGGTGTCGTAACAATCCCTGTCAGAATGGAGGAAGCTGTCATCAGAACTCACCCTATGAGGCCTATCACTGTACGTGTTTGGATGGTTTTACTGGGGAGTCCTGTGAAAATTCCACAAGTGAGTTGAAAAATGTTAAGTGAAAGAAACATATTAGTGATAATAATTTATATTTATTTACAGATAAAACGTCGTCAAATTAAATACTTTATATCTTATTTTATTAAGCACTACTAAGCTTTTGTTGTTGCATGCTCAGGGGATTACAGACAAAAACATAACCAATATGTTTATTTTATCATTATTTCAAGTTAGACTTTAAACAAGTACAAAATTGCAAGTTATTAATTCTTTATGCTTTATTTTACATAAGTTAAACAAACGGTAAGATTAATTAAGTCATTATTAATATCCTTGAATGTTTTAAAATCTGGGGATGTTTCAAAACTTTATTTCAATGAAATATATTTAAAATTGAGATTGGCACTGACAACAGTTTATTATTTGACATCGATATTGAAATTATAGTAATTTTTTTAATGGGTTCTTTGCAATTAAAAAAAATGGCCAAACTGTAATGGATTGAAAATGTAGGTGGAAGCCGAGAGTTAGCGCGCTTAGTTCATCTATGATTAATTTAAATTCTTAATTTGGGAATAAGTCAATAAAAAAAAGATATCTTTGCAGTCTTTAAACCAGAAAGTGCTGTGTCAGTCGGATGTTTTGATGATGCGTGGAATATTACTCTTTATCTTCCAACTCTACGTAAAGAATATCCTGATTTAGATATCAAGGATATCTACGTTGGACAAGATAACAAAAATTGTACCGGAATAGTAAATGGAGATTATATTCTTTTTCAACAAGAGCTGAATGGATGCGGAACAAAAGAAATGGTATGCATAATGTGAGAACAATAAAATAATATTTAATAATTGCTTGAATTTCATGTAGAGTAATCTTATTTTTCAGAATATATCAGAGGGAATAAACTATCAGAATATATTGATCTACGCTGTTCACGATAAACTTCATCATTTCATCGTTCGTGAATACCGATTTCGTTTGAAAGTCAACTGTACAAAATTATTTCCAAACGGTCCATTTAACAACAATGCAAACTCTTCCATAAAGTTCGATCAGCCCTTACATCTACAGTTCTTTTCTGACCCCTCCTACTTGCACGTAAAATCTCTAAATAGTTCAAAAGTTGGGGATAAGGTTTATGTTCGAGCATATAGTGACGTCAATGACAGTCATTCCAAAACGAGGCTGTCAGACTGCTATACAACACCGATGTTTTCTACTAATCCAACCATGGTTTATTTCATCATCAAGGATGGGTAACTTTTTTTTCTTTATTTAGTTAAACTTCCAAACACTGGTAAGGAAATGTAATGATTGCGAAGATCCCGCTGCTCAATATTCTTTCAGTGTTTTACCTATGATAACTGGAATCTTAATATTCTAGTATCTTGAAATATTTTAGTCCAGATACGTTCGAGATAACAAGGTTTTATTGTAATATCTTTAATGACCAGTGATCAATTAAAAGATCTCACGAATAAGACCAACATTTTATTCTGCTCATAATTTTCAATGTTACGTTGATTTTTAAAGAAAGCTTTTAAAAAGAATTTTAAAAAGATGCTTTTTACACTAGCAATTTCAAACTGAAGTTACTGGTTTTAGTCGTAAGTTCTTTTGTAAAATGAGCCCCTGGCCTTTTAGCTGTAAAAGTTGAGTCACCTTTATTGTTTTTTCTTTCTCATTTTCTTTTCAGATGTGCAATTGATCCCAATGCTGTTCTTCTGTCTCAAAGCGCCCATGAGACGCATTTCTCTTTCCAGTATTTTGAGTATGCATCAAATGAAGGTTCCCTAGAACTACATTGCACTGCCTCAGTCTGTCATGCGAACGATATTTCCCCTGCTTGTAAAATAAGTGTCACAGCAGTAAAATGTAAAGAGAAGAATAAAATCTTCTAGGATGCTGTGTATAATTTCCTTTTTCTTACTACGTTTCCATAAATAACATGTTTAAGATTTTGGCTAAACTTTAGGATTAAGACATTTATTGCCAAAATTTTAAACCTTAATAAAGGTACACATGAATTACATAGTGTCGCAACCTTAAAATGAAAAGGGTAGTATAAAATCTTCTAGGATGATTTTTTTCATGAGCAAAATAAACAATGGGATCTCTTTTACTATCAAGTTTATAATTTCATATTTTTTTTTACTGTAGTTCCTTTTGAAATTAGTATCGAAGCGGGGAATTTCTGTTTTTAAGTTTTGGTTTTACCTTATGTATTTTCATCAAAACATGTATGGCCAATTTTTAAACCGTAGTAAAGGTATACATATGTTGCCTAGTGTCACAGCAGTAAAATGCAGAGGGTAGAATAAAAGTTGTGAAGGTGTGAAGTTAGGCCTATCATGAGCAAAATAAACAATGGAAAGTATTTTCACCATCATGTTTACACTTTCTTTTTTTTACCATGTTCTCGTAGAAAACAGGTTTTATTTATTAACAAAACTTAATGGACTACGTGTTAATCGTTTTTTCATTTTCCTACAACCAAAGACAAAATATTGATAGACATAATAAAGAGGAAAAGATAAATGTATGTACAGAAAGAACAGAAATCTGTAATTTTGTTATTTTTTGCATTCACGTACTTTATTGTTTCTAATACTTTTAACTGTTGTTGATTTTTGTGTACTTATCATTTATGTTTTATTTATCATATTAAATTTTAATTGGTCTGTTTTTCATATTAGTCATATGAAAGCGTAACATATGGGTATACATGTATGCTTTAAATACATATATTGTTGCATGAATAATCAGATTACTAGTATCTCTCGGGGAGTTCTTGAATGAATATGAAAGGTAACACCTTTAGTACCTTGGAAATCAACCTCAAAGCGGAGAACCCCCATTTGTTCATAAGTGTTGGTTTCGTCAAGTGTATATTTTTATCCAAACATATATGGCCAAATTTTAAACCTGAATAAAGGTACACATACATTGCACCCGATGACATAAACTAGAAATAAGCATGTAGTCGACATGGGATGCTCATTCCTATTAAGCTCCTAATTCTATTTCAGGTCATTACCGATGTCCTGGTTTTTGTCCTCTTCAGAATTGTTTTAATTTGTTCGAAGGATTTTTGATATTTCATTGTTAAACGTTAACATTTTCAAATTCTTAAACCTAAAATACTCAGGACATGTTCTTGCCTACCGAATCAGTTCTGAGATACAAACACCTTATTTAAAGTGTTTCAAAAGTTTTGATAGTTCCTCTCACATATAAAATCTGATTGTTTGAACCAGATGTGTGAATTGAAGTAATCAGAAAAGGCTTTGTTTGCGAATACCAGGAGGAAATGAGAAGATAACAGTATACTTGTACTATTGCGTCAAAATAAGATACTGATGAAGACCTACTAAATTTGACCTTAAGTCCTCTTAAGTAGACTTTTATCGGGTGTCTCGTACCTTTATCTTGACGAGGGTGATGTTTGATCAGTTATTGACACTGACTAGGACACGTGTAGTACATCTGGGTATTTTATGTAATAAGAACAATATACAGTACATTTTATAATAATACTCATTAAATATATATTGTATTTTATTTTTTTTTTTAAATTAAGTGAAATTTTAAAAACATGTTTAAGTAATTGATTGAAACAAAATTATGAAAATTAAAAATTTATAATTAAATAATTTTTACTACTGGTAATATGTTTAACAAAGAATTAAACCATCCAGGTATACTATAATAAGCCTTTTCAAAACTACAACACCGATTTAAACAGGTTTTAACACAAAGTTTAGAAACTGTCATGAAATGCTGGTATTAGAAAGTTAATTATTCAAGTGTTTTAGTAATATGTTTAATTATCGTGTTAGAATTTAAAAAAGAAATATGTTCACCATCCAGAATTTCCATTTTCATTAACTAGAGATGCTGAAATTAATTGGAAAGGTTACATGAACAATGTGTTTTGGTTCAAGTAGAAAAGGCTTGTAACAATATATATTTTTCGTAATTATTAGTCCCCTACAGGTGAGACCAGAGATACCCGGTACTATATGTTTCATACTAGTATCAGGTTGTCCGTCCGTCTGTCTAGCTGTTCGTCCGTACGTTTCTCCGTCCTTCTGTCAGTCTGTCCCACTTGGTTTTCCGCAATTTTTTTCTAAATGTTTGCAGACATTGAGCTGATTATTGATATGTGAGTGATCCTTGATACGTTACATATCAAATTTGCATTTCGTTCCGCTTCATTGATTATTGAAGGAATTATGGCATTTTTATTTTTAATTATTGGGTTCACGAACGGGTTCGTGGTGCACTAGATTAGTTTATGACCATGTTTGCCTTATGATTCGATGGAAGGTGTTTGGTATACCAACAAACTGAAAAATCAGAAGCTGGACGTCATACCTGGCGATTGACGATTAACTTTGAACAGTGAGCAGTTAGGCAAATTTATGATCTTGGTTGGAAAATTGTCAAATTTTATCAAAAGAAAAAACTTCGCAATCTTTTGGAACTGCTAATTAATATCTCAGAAGGATTAACTTAGTACTTATTAAATAAAATAAAAATTAAATACAGTGTCAAATTTATGCTTCAAGCGATTTTTATCAGACGCACGATTTCATAATAAAGTCACAAACGCCACGAGTTCCGTTTTGACGTCATTAGTGTTGCGCAGACAACTATTTTGTAAGATTTGTTTACCTGAGAAAAATATTATTTATGGAGATTATTTATTTATTTTTTATTGATATAATTAATATATTTGATTTTAAAAAGATTCTGGTGGCCATCGTTGGCAATAGTTTTGTTGAATGAGTCACATGGAATTCAACCACCTCTTTTAAGTCAGCAGATTTAAAATACTGAGGTCGTTTTTATCTTGTTAGAAATATAACCTTAACCATTAGGTTGTTTCATTTTTGGCCTTTGTCTTTTTGTTGTTGTTGTTGTTTTTAATGACAGGGAAATACCCTTCTAGCTAAACAAGAGATCGCGGCGGGTGTGACCGGTCGAAGGGGATGCGTACACCTTCAAGGTACCTTATCCTACATCTGGAAATTTCTCTAGTGGTATGTATTTTATGTCGTGTTGACAATTTTGTGTTGTTTATATATTGTAATTAGATTATTACTTTGAATGTTTGTTAACTCCAACTTATAGCGGTACTCAGTTATAGTCGTAAGAATTTTCCTGCATTACAAATTGATATACACATTTACAATATGGACCAGACCAGATTAGAAGAGAAAAATTAAAAGACCGATGCAGCTGAGAAAAATTTCAATGTATATACAAGAAACAATTGCAAGGATTGAACAGTCTCGTTAAGTCTGTGCTTAAGTCATTTCTTAAGTTCGATGGTCGATACAATGACCTTGTCAGCAAATACAATTTATCATTAAGTCAAATTCTGACTGACGTATTTAATTCAAATTGTTGGGTCATTATTTACACAATTGTCGACGGATTTTTCCGTTATTTCCCAACCATGGCACGGAGCTAACGGCGGGGGAAGGGATGGTGCGGTCGGCATGGGATGCTCACTCCTCCATCGCACCTGATCCCACCTCTGTGTATTGGACGTCCCATTTTCCTCTGCTCCAATTTGGTATTGTTTTGTGTTCTTTTTGACCATTAATTCTGTTCATTATTTAAAGAATGAAGATTATTTCAACTTTTGTTATACGATATACCATAACTTGAGGCAGTTTACGCTTTATAAACCGGTTTATAAAAAAGCGTAAACTGCCCCAAGTTATGATATACTATGAAATAAGCATATTTTAATTTCAAGACAACATGAACAAAGAGACAAGCGGAAAAAGGCTTAATACGTTTTTGATGTAACTCATTGTGACGTAGGCAAGTTATGTTTTACAAAATGGATTAAATCATTTACCCAATCAAATGACGTGTTACAACTAATATCAAATTATTTCCATATATTTCATATTCAATTTAAGCATAGATTACTACTACTATGAAAACTAGAAAACTACTATGGATTGATTTTATTGCAAGACTTTTCAAATCAAGGTGGGTATTTTATCAATTTAGAAATGTCAATCGTTTGATAATAGAAAGAAAATCACACGGGTTTTTATTTTTCGTGGTATTAAGATCTTACTTGCTTCGGGTATAGCAATTTGATGTTAAACTGGGCTTCAATTTTAAACATTTTATTCTTTTATAGAGTCTGATATCTTCATTGAAAAATAAAATATGTAGTTATGAGTTCGTAGTTTTTTTTTTCATTACTTTGAATTAAAATATGACCTTGGCCTGTAATGCTCTCAAATCTCTTGTCTTTTGCATACATAGCTTTACATATAAATATTGTTTAAAACATAATTCAAGGTGAAAAAAAAATACATATTCTATATATTCCCTGAATAATCTCATTTTTTTTATAAATGGTTTTGAATAGAAAACACACCTTTTGTCAAATGCATTTAGGGAATACAGTTGTGAAATACAGCCTTTAGTCACGTGATAAGAGGAAAATACTTAAAATACGAATAAGGTCACGTTAAACACAGATTAAAGTACTCTAATTTGCTGTAACCCGAAGTTAAAAATGAAGATATTATTTCTTATATTTATGGTAAGAAATTTTGTGAAAACCTATCAAATTATAAACGTCAAAGAGTGATTGAATTAGATGAAGGGAAAAAAGTAAAAATAAAAAATCAAATAAATGGATACTTTTTGTTTATTTATATTTTTTCTTGTTACTAATTTTAATTCAACTTTATAATATATGTTTTATTCTGATAATCTAACTTATAAGTACTACAGGAGATGTAAGTTAGATTATCAGAGACAAAGTTAAACATATTTTATGAAATTAAATCAAAATTATTTAACAGGAAAAGAAACATTAAAAGATAAAAAGTATTCCTTTATTTGCACTATACTATTTGTTTATATTGTATTTATACTGTAGGAGATTTTTAATTATATTTTTATTGAATTAGTCAAGTTTATACAAATGCACATATTAAACAACATCGTCCTTCTTTTATTAACAAATGACATCTGTTATAAAAACAAACAAACAAACAAACAAACAAACAAACGAATGCTTGAAGAAAAGGGAAATCAGCTAAAGAGGAGTTTGTCTCAATTAAGAATTATTTTTTTAATAATGATTTTAAAATGTTTTTTACTAAAATAAAATTTTAAATTTTTTTTACTGAAATTAAATAAGTGTGCATTTTTGATAATATTTAATCTTTGTAGACATACCTTGATTGAAAGGATCCCTTAATTAATTTGTGTGTGTTTTTTTTATTTCAGCATTCTTGTTTAATGGAGCATATTTGTATGTATTTCTTGTACTTTAATTTACTCTACAATTTACAGTAAAATATAGACATTTTAATTTAAAAAAAAGAAGGTATTTTTATCTAATACACATGTAGTATTATAAGTATGATTAATTGATTATTAATTTCTAGGCACACAAGGAATGACAAATCCACATATTTTAGGTAAAATCTTTTATATATAACATATAAACTGTTTCAAAAATAAAGCGTTATTAAATAAATACTTATAAACTAT